CCCGAGGCTCCGTGCAGTCCGGTCTAATTTGGGGCTTCAGTCATGGCTCTCAACACGGAGTTAAGCTGGTGTTTCAGAGTGTTTCAGAGCTGAGCTGGGTGACAGGCAGCAGGAAGGGCGGAGAGTAGTCACAGTGGCAGCAAACACAGCGTGGTAAACACACAGGAGAGGGGGGAGGGGGGGGGGGGGGGGGGGGGGGGTGAAGGTTATTGAAATAGAAAGTGTTCCCGATTCATTGTCCTGAATTATTTAGCTTATTTTCACAACTCACAACTCTGTGTTTTGGGTAATAACTCATCCTTCAGTATCACTTAATACGATTCATTTGTCTTCAGGGGGCGTCACACCCCCTCTCTGAAGAAGAGGGTTTGACATCTGAACCGGCTTGGGGAGTTTACTCCGCCATGAAGAGAAAAACATGTGTGCAGCGGTTTTGACAATGTGATGTATTTATTACGAATTAAAATATAGGGATTCAGAGATGGGACTATTAATATCTTATGCAGCAGTGATAACAGGATAACAGGGGTGGGAGGGTTCCTCTAAAAAGTAGTCCATTGCAATTAGTTACCTGTAAAAGAAAGTTATCTGAATATCACAATATAAAGTAATGTAACCCGATTCCTTTATTTTGGATTACCTCAATATCAAATGCATTGCAAATACATTTAAAATAAAATATATTTCAATAAGTGTATTATGTAAACGTGACCCAAGAAAAGACGAAAACCAAGATATTTGATACAATATGTGTAGTTTACCAATTCTGTTTTAGTTTAAAACCCAGTCTGCTCAGAAGAAAAATGCAGATATATTCACTTCAAATAAGAACAAACATTATAAGAGCTGGTGCAATAGTGTCAAGCTGAACTCTTAGTGTTTATTTTCATTGAATGGCCAAGGCTGAAGCAAAACAGGTGTTTTTTTTTTTAAAGTTGGCAAAGGATGCAACTAAACCTCTGAAATAATTCAGCAAGTTGAATAGTCAGTAAAAAAGCAACTCTTATATTGTGAGAGAAATCCACCTCCATTAAAAGATAGGCATGTTAGTGTTCACAGATAGATGCTGCAATGTCAGTGTGTTGTGCAGCTGGGAGTATTGCCGAGCTTTGTCAAAGGGACGTCTGAAAGCATCCATCAGCTCCTCTGTCACGCCCTGAGGTAGCTTCATCTTTATACAGTCTCTTATCAATATCTCATAACCTTTCAATGCCTGTGGCTTTTAACAGACAAATGGAAGGCATTAATGATGAATCCCTGGCACCACGTTGGAAATGATCCGTCGAGCACCGAAAACAAGATCAGCCGAGTAGACGTCCCTTTGAATTTGTTGGATGTGAACGTTAGGTACACTGTGTGGACGCAGCTGAACTGAGAACTCATTGATAGTAATTGAATGCAACACACGCCTCAATTTGAGATGAGAACACACCCAGCAGCACAGGTTAGCAACAATCATCTAATGTGCTGCTAGGAGAGAATGCCTGGAAAGGTTACAATGAAACGCAGCATGTTCATTTTTAGAATATCCAAAATGAAGTGCCAACAAGGATTCTCTCCAATAATTAAAAAGCACATTGCCTTGTGGAAGTAGAGGGGTTAAACAAAAAGCTTTTATCATTGGATTAGGATTCAAAACACATTTAGCCAAAACAATGAAGCCGTTTTAATGTTTATGAACCAATGTGCTTTCGTTTTTGGAGGAACCATATCCCTTACAATGCACCTCAGAAACCCGTAGTGTGTTTTATTGCATGTTTTACCCAAATTATTGTATTCATTTAACAGGGAAAGTGGCCATTAATAGACATTTCTGTAAATGCGCCAGTGAGGCTATTTTTCACATGTAGTCCCTGGACAGATTTGCCCAGCAGCAGATATTTAAGGTTTTGTTCTACCACATAAGAGACAGACTTAAATACCACACTGGTGAAATTAAAAACAACCAGGATGGCCTACAAAACAATTTCTTCACAGTACCACTAATACAAGATGACCAGGTTTGACCCATCAGTTCTCACATGAACAGTAATGAAAGAACACTGTATGATTTTGTCTTTACATTTTTATTCACCTTGTACTACAAACAGCTCAGAGGAAACCGGAGAACCTGCAAGACAAAAGGGAATTGAAGTCAGTGAATGCAGCTTATTAATAAATATATACAACTCTCATACAAATGTACATTTCATCTTGTTTCCATGTTGTTGTACCTACTTATGCCTTTTCTGCCTTCTCCGCCTTCTCTGCCTTTTCTGCCTTCTCCGCCTTCTTGTCCTTCTTCTCCTCCTTCTCCTTCTCCTCTGGTGCTGCCTCCTCCTCTGGACCCTTGGTGTTACGGGTGTAGATTAGCTGTGCTCTGTGTTTGGACACGAGTTTGATCATGCCTGGAAGACAAAACAGGATAATGTTCTCCATCAGTTTTATCCACACATTAACAATTCACGTGCCCTTATTTTAGTTACTCTGCAGATCAGTTAAGGTGTGCTTAGATCATTTTTAAATGTCAGTGAAAGTCTAAACGTCTCAGTTTAAAGTTGACAGATTAATCTGAGCTTTTGGAATATTATTATGAGAGGACAGAGAGTAGACACAGTATATGCACGTCAGCAATGCAGTTCATGTTGTGATTCAGGCTCTAAAATCACTACTATAGTATTTTAAAAGAGAACAAACTCATGAGGTTGAACAGTTTATGGACCAGAAGGGCATGTTTCAAATATGATATAGATATGCAATAGAAACAAGACAAAGCTCAGTCTTAAAAATGGGTTTGCTTTACAAAAGGCTAATGCCGTTCAATTCAGGTAAGCTTAAACAAAGCGAGCGATGGTTACGATGCACTTTACTTCCACTTCATTTTGAATAACAAACATGTCTTTTGAAACTGGCGGCAGGTTGTATAAAGACACAAGCCATCACCACTGTGTATGTTATTTTTTTTTTATAAATTGGGTGGGATGCAAGAACAGATATTTGTGCTTTCATCTAGCAATTCATCCTTTCAGTATTTTGAAGAGGATTTCAAAATGTAATGACAGCAATGTTGCAGCTATGATTACTGATGAAAGCAGGAGCCAAACTAAATGTCAACCATACAAATCACTGCCACCTGAGAACAGCTGAAAAACACTTAGTGTGGATACGCAGAGTGAGCATTTATAGAAGTCAGACACAGCCAATGAGCTGTACTGATGGGGATTACTAATGATGCATGTAGATTTTTTTTGTTAAAACACGGCCCCGTTGCAGTTAGTTCAGCCTGTTTTCTGCCACCAATGTAAAATATTATAGCAGATTACATTAAGAGTAAAACAGCCCAGCTCCAACTTGACTTTTTGAGATATGATTAAGTAGGATAAAATTAAACTTCACCACAAATAGCCTTGCAGGACAAACAATGGAGCAAATTCTGTCAGGACTCGCTGAGATTAGAGCAGCAAAAGGTGCTTAACCATTTCAGTGGTTGATCCGAATGTAGGCATGTTGTCAGTGATATTCACCTTTGAAGAGCAGCTCCTGGAGGGCATTCCTGGCCAGGGAGCCACGGATCTTCAGCCTCTCAGACACAACAGCGGGGGTGATGAGCTTGTAGTTGGGCACCTCTTTGTACAACTTTTCATAGGTAGCCTTGTCGAAGAGAACCAGGTTGTTGAGCTTGTCCCTCACCTTTCCCTTGGACCACTTCTGCTCGGAGACAAAATATTTTACGGATTAAGAAACGCTCCGTCTTGCTAACATTAATTTCAAAACATAACATCTGAGGTTGGTTTAAATTAATTGTTAAGTTGTAGTTACATTGGCAAATGTGCTAGTGTTTATATTTTATACATCTTTACATTTGGTCTGTTTTAATTGAAAGTTGATAGAAACTAGAATAGGTTTCGAGTTGATTGTTATGAGTGTCCCTGCCGAGGGAATGCAATAATTAATTTAGCTATAATCTGGAATTTAACAACTCTTATCTTTTTGAGATTAATGTATTTTTATGCATGGTCCTTGTTCAATAAAGACATAAAATCGTACCTTCTTCTTGGCCTTGCCCCCGGACTTGTTAACTGGGTCCTTGTCCTTCTTGGACTTCCCAGCGTCCTTCTTCTTATCCTGCTTGGGAGGCTATAAAGACAAGATAGAAAAAACGTCATTCATTTACAATATACGTGTGCTGCTCGCATGGTTCCAAAACAAATCACACAAGTATAAACTGCTTTTACAGTAAAGTATTGAAGACAGAAATTGCACTGCTGGTGTGAGGAGCTAGCAGAGTGACGTTAACTTCGCTGGACGGCATGGGATGGCCTTGTCAGCGTCCTCAGAAAACGTTGCAAGCCTCACAATTTGTTTTACATTGGACATACTTAAAGTTACAATACAGTAGCATTGTACTAGTTTCACTGACAGCGTCATGTATACATTCATGTAGGTCTCAAGTTGGCAACATAACGTATTGGGCTCATATTTCTTTACCAGTGTAGCATGAAAGCATGGTGGAATTAGCAAGCTAGCTAACGTTAGCTAGCTAAATAGCCGACCGCTAAATGTGTAAAATGTAACAATTTAACGCTTCATCCACACACTTTTGTCACAGCATAGGGAAGTACAACACTATCGACAAATGCTCCGAAAAACAAGAACTCGAAAAATGTTTCAGAAATGTGTTACATTTGTGATTTGTTTCGACAAAACGTGTAATAACTGTCCTCACCATGTTTCCTCGTCAAGATGTCGGAGTGAAAGGAAGTTCAACCCGTGGAAGAGCCCCTTAGACACCCCGTATATGCGGAAATGGAGTAGGGATTTGTGGGTAATTGAGTCCTTCTGTTTTTTTCGAAGGAATGGTTTTTAATCTGTATTGGCTCAACATATTGCTGCACAACAGTTATATATGTTTGTTTGAAATAAATAAAAACATACAAATGATAAACAAATAAAAAATTGGCAAAGCTAATTTACATTTTTTCTGACACTTTGTGGTCACCTGACCTAAGTGTAGTCAGCTGGGCAGGACGTCGCAAAGATGGTGATCTTCAGTGTGTATGTGGTGAACAAGGCTGGAGGTTTAATCTACCAATATGACAATTATGTGCCGAGAGCAGAGGCCGAGAAGACTTTCAGCTACCCTTTAGATTTAGTGCTGAAGCATCACGATGAGAAGGTGGTCGTGTCGTATGGACAGAGGGACGGAATCAAAGGTAACGTTAGCACAGTGTTAGCTCGATGCTAGCTGGGGGTGTTGACTAAAGACCTAAACATCTGAAGTAAATATACTTCTAATAAATGCACCGATTGTCTTATTATCCTTTTAAGGACACGCCTTTCTCTGTAGCTCATTACATTTACATTTCATTTAGAGACAAATGTACATACTTAATAATGTTTATAGTACCCTATCTTTATATGTTACTATTTGTAGTTTGGTATATTCCTCTATATGTCATAGTGTGTATGCAGAGGTGGAAGAAGTACACAGATCTTGAACTTAAGTAAAAGTAGAAGTACCAGAGTGTAGGAAAACTCTGTTACAGTAAAAGTCCTGCATTCAAAATGTTATTCAAGTAAAAATACAACAATATTAGCATCAAAATATACTTAAAGTACCAAAAGTAGAAGTACTCATGCAGATTGGTCCATTTCAGAATAATATATATTATATGTTTTGATTATAATTATTGATGCATTAAAGTGTTATCAAAGCTGGTAAAGGTGCAGCTACTTTGAAAGACTTTGTATACTGCACTGCAGGGTAGCTTGTGAATGTTACTCCAGATGTAACTGAGTCTAATTAAATGTTGATTATATTGCACATCATTAATATAAATATGCAAAACAAATAAAGGTATTGAATAAATGTAGCAAAAAATGGAAATACTCAAGTAAAATCCCTGAAATGTGTACTTAAGTACAGAACTTGAGTAAATCTACGTTGTTACTTATTTACACCACTGCATATACATTTATCTCTCTACTGTTGATATGTCCATTTGTTTTTGTTTTACATTTTATTTCCAACTTCTTTGTGCAGTGCTTTGACTACCTTCAACACAATTATTTAATCTATTTGTCTCTATATTAATTTGAAAGGGATTAATATTCCCAGCAATGTTTGTTTTCCTGGATCAATGCTAAAATCACCCACCTACCGATATTATACTTTATGAGAGCTATGCATTCACATTTGTGCTATCCAGTTTTGTGTTTCTTTTTCCTTTAGAGGTTGGTTGCTGCACGGTAGCATTTGAAACATCCTTCTCCGTGAATTAATTATCAATTTGAATTGTGGCCTTAACAAAGGACACTGAGAACATTGGGATTACCCTTACAATGTTCCTACTCTGCAGTCTCTCTGTCTGCATAATTAATTTGACATGAAAGTGTACTCCTTATTATTCTGGGATACTCAACTGCATGCCTTGTCAAAGTCTAACTTTTAAACTGTATTAGCTGAAACTTGTGTGTGTGGTTATTCTCCAGTGGGCCATGCTGTGCTGTCCATCAACGGCGCTGATGTGCTCGGCAAAAACACGGCAGAGGGAAAGGACATCCTTGAATATTTGAAGGATTCCTTAAATTATCCCGTGTCTATTCGCTTTGGACGGGCGCGCCTGAGCTCCAACGAGAAGCTGATGCTGGCCTCCATGTTCCACTCGTGAGTTAAATTAATGTTTCATAAAACAGTTCCGAGTCTGTGTTTCTAACCTTTACATGCTTCACTGATCCCCAAAGTCAGTTATAGTACAGGTATAAGGACTGGAGAGGCTGTTCACATCTATTTGTAACTGAATCTCAGACGTGGAAGACTATTTGCTTAAAGGTGGGGTAGGTAAGTTTGAGAAACCGGCTCGAGATACACTTTTTGTTATATTCCATGGAATGCTCTTAACATCCCGATAGCAATGAATATCTTAAGTGCTTTGACAAAAAATTCATTAAAAAATGTCATCTGTGGAAGCCGTAGTACTGTAAAAAGCACGACCAATCATTTTAGCCGGCCCGGCTAAAATAACTGGATGGCCTACCTGCCTGTCAGCCTTCCATCTGTGCACAAACTTATCTCGTGCCCTCATTGGTCATGTGCGCGTTCGTGTGTGTTGGAGGAGGGGCTCTGTAAGGAAGTAGCAGATTTCTTCCGGCTGTGTATTTTCAAATTCTAGCGCACTCGAGCTGGTTTCTCCGAAATTACCTACCCCACCTTTAAGTAAAAATATTCAGTTATCCTTTTTTTTTATCCATTTGTACCTGATCCTCATGTGGATCAGTTGTATGGCATACTAAAGTATTTTGTTGTTGTATGTGTAGATCACCATGTAAAGCATTGTATTTCTCCTGTGTGCTTTCACAGGTTGTTTGCTATTGGTTCACAGCTGTCCCCAGAGGTTGGCAGTTCAGGGATTGAGATGCTGGAAACCGACGTGTTCAAACTCCACTGCTACCAGACTCTCACCGGTCAGTAGATAAACAAGCTTCATGAGCCATTGTTTTTAAAGAAAAGTGTGATTTTTAGTCCAATTAAAAAGGCTAGATGGAGTTTCAAAGTAACTCAGTAACTTATTTGTAATACTTCCCCTTTAACCCGACATAATTACTTTTTTTGTTGATTTTTAAACTGATGTCTTTCTCATTGGGTTAGGCCTATCATAGTATATACTGACTTCCATTCTGTATATTTATATTGTATACACAATACTTTATAGACATATATATATTTCACTGTCAGTATGTATATTTATTTTTACCGTTTTCTTTTCTATTGCTTTTCATTTGTAATTCATGTGCATTGCCTTGTTTACAATCCCAATTTCCCCCAAATTGGGTTCAATAAGGAGTATCCAATCTAATATAAATCCTATTGTTCCTTCAGGGATAAAGTTTATCGTGCTGGCGGACCCCCGACAATCTGGAATAGATGCTCTGTTGAGGAAGATTTATGAGATATATTCAGATTTCGCCCTCAAGAACCCGTTTTATTCCCTGGAAATGCCAATCAGGTGAGAGAGCCTTCCAATCTGCTGTACTAAAATTAGAATCTGGTCATTTCAGATTACATATCAGATTTCTAACGATCATATTTCCAACAGGTGTGAACTCTTCGACCAGAATCTGAAGGGTTCGCTGGAGATCGCAGAGAAAGCTGGCAACTTTGGAGCGGGATCTTAAAACCAATCCAGACTTAGTTAGTTTTCCAACAACAGATTTACAGACTTCAAATGAAAGTGGATTTTCTTTGTTTCTTTTTCCAAGTTGATATCGGACCGGAAATAGAGCGGTGCAGTGATGATGTGTTTTTGTTGTCGGCTCTGAAGGACAGCGTTTTTCAATTGACCCGTGTGGACGGACATATTTGATGTCCGAGAACAAAATGTTAAAATCTCTTCAGCTTGTGTTAACCACAGATGTTATTTCAGGATAACAACCAAAAACACATTAAAAAGCAAACAAACAGCATGTGCTACTCATTTAGGACTCATTCCTGCATCACTCTATAAACACATTGTAAATACGTTTTGTTTTGTAAATACTTGAAGATTAAATAAAATACTGTGTTTAAAAGCATCGTCATATTTTTTTATTTAGGCGTTTTAGTAATTTAGTACATTTTTTGACAATATATATCCCATTTACTTTTGGTACTTTGAGTATACTTTGAAGCCAATCATGTTGTTCTTTTACTTAAGTAACATTTTGAATTCAGGACTTTTACTTGTAAAAGGTGAGTAGTTTTACAATTTTAGTATTGCTACTTTGACTGAAGTAAAATGTCTGAGTACTTCTTCCACCTCTGCTTTAAATACATGAAATACAATATATGCAGTTGTTTTAATATTCCCTTTATTTATACAGTTAGTGAAGCCATTTTCAAAGTGAAAATACTGTACGTAGAAAATCACCTTTCAAAAATAGAAAAGTGCTCAACTTCTCAGAGCGTGATGTCCTGTGGAACAGAAAATACTGCAGTATACGATATGAGGGTAGAAAAATATGAGGATGGTTCAGAGTATTTTAGAGGTTTGATGAGGTTTCAGTCAGAAGCCTTCTTGGACACATGGCCCATTTTGGTCCTGATGTTGCGCAGCAGGACGAATCCAACCGTGGTGATGCCGCAGGTGACCTCCGCTACCCAGAATGCAGTTTCCCAGCCGTGGTGCTTAGCGACGGTGCTGAACGGGAGTCCAGACAGGAAGCCACCGACTGAGGAGAGCAAACACAGAGAGAAGTTTACTCCGAGATTAGAGGATATATCTTACAATGAGGCTTGGCGAGTAACATTACATTTAAAAGGATCATCTCATCAGGATACAAATAATGGTAACTATTCACTTACAGCTAAATTACAAGAAGACTTACTCAGATTACTGTTACAAGATAACAGTGTTAGAATACATTTTAAATAAAGCTCGGTTTATTAGAAGGAACATGCATAAAGGTCTGGCTCAGTATGTGTAGATCATGAATGATGTAATAATGTTTGAATCAACTTACTGTTGGCCATGAGGGCAACGATGGCGTGTGATGTCCCGCAGTAGTTGGACGGTGCGCTCTCATTGGCTATAACTCCAAATAATGCTATTGGTCCATAAGAGGAGAAACCGAAGGCAGCACCCAGGCAGAGTATCCACACCTGAGGGAGCAAACGAGAGGTTCAGCCATGCATGTCTCATTATTAATGAATCGCTTTCTAATGAGTCAGAGATGTTACCTTCGGGCTGTCTGCAGTAACGGTGACTCTGAACAGGAACATGGACACAGACATCCCCACCATCATGCAGATCAGGATGAAATGGCGAGGGTTGCCGTAGATTTTCTTGCCTTGCTATACAAATAAGGACATGTCAAATAATACCACTGGCAAGAACTGGAGAGAAAATTCAAATTCATATGTAAGGCTGTGATTGGCTGTGATACATCTGAGACTTGTGCAAATCAATATTAATAATAAACACACTACAGGAAAGGGAAAACTCCAAAAAAGCATAATAGGGCCTCTTTAAAATGCGAAAAATGACTAAAACAAAACTCACTTTGGCCACGGCCTTGTCAGAGATGTACCCTGCTGCCAGACTTCCCAGCAGGCCTCCGACCTCCAGGGCGCTCATGTATGAGCTGCCTATGAAGAAGAAAAGAGTGACTCACAAGAAATAATAAAATAAAAACCTCTCAACATACAGAAATTCTAATCTCTTCCATACCCATGAGTGTCGACTGGCCCTTGTCCTGGATGAGGAACAGCTGTCCCCAGTCGGTGCAGGCAGTCTTCACCCCGAACACCACCAGGTAGGACACGGACAGCAGCCACAGGTAGGGCGACAGCAGGAACTCAGACAGCGTGCTCTCATCACTGGAGGATCCTGAACAAGAGGAGTGTTATTATAGCGAGGTGGGCTCTTTCAGTGGAGTGGCTCAACAAAAATAAATAAAACAAAAAAGTTAAATAAAAAAATCGAACTCATTGAGACTTAAAAGTAGAACCACCTTGTTCCAGGTTCTGTAACAACAATTAATGGTCGATAACATAAAAATCAAGAAAAACTGCACCCACTAACTTTGTATTATCCATTTCATTTTCCCATTTCAGTCAGACAACTCACGTGTTTCTTTAACATGTTTATTAGAAGCAGCATATAGTTGAGTTTGGCGTCTAGGCTCGGGCCTCATCACTCCACAGATATACATAGCACAATGAGTGATGATTAAATAACTAACCCCCCGAGCCTACAGGTGGAAGCTGGGGTGGAAGCTGGGGTGGTGGTGGGGCAGGCAAGCAGCAGCGACGTAGAGGTAGCTGCAGCAATAGCAGCAGCAAGTAATGCATGGAGAGAGATCTGGCAGGTTAAATAGAGCGGCATATTAAGGAGACTCTGTTTGGTTGGTTGTAGAGTGGCAAGGGGCGTTATGTATGAATGCAGCATAAGTGCTCGAGTTGACTGCCTGAACTAGCTCGCAGGCTTCGCCCCATTTCTGTGAAAACTAAATAATAATAATAATAATAATAATAATAATAATAAATTTAATTTTTATAGCACTTTTCCTGGTGCTCAAAGACGCTTTCTAGTCGCCCCGTAAGATCTAAGTCAAAGAAGACATATCATTCATTCAGATGTATTAAATGTGGTCTTTGCAGGATGGCATAATGACATCCAAGTATTTATATAAAAGCATGTGCACGAGAGACACAGCCAGTGGTGGAAGAATAGTTTAACCTTTTTCAAAAAACTAAAATAAACTGGCTCTAAAGTCACTTGCCCTTCAAAATGTAGTAGAGGAAAATTACAGTAGCATTAAATGAAATTAAAAGTACTTGAAAAATGTTCTTAAGTACAGTACTTAAGTAAATGTACTTTCGGTAACACTCAACACAGCTCACACAGATGACATCTGAGGGGCACAGTGGGTACAGAGTCCAGAGAGACACCGACCTTTAGTCACAACACAAGAGGCAACACACACTCACACCTGCATGTTAACCTAGTGTGTTTAAAAAGGCTAGCCTGGTCACAGTGACAGACAATTACTGAGAGAAAATGTGTAAATTAGGCCCTATACTTCCTTTTGCTTTCCTTTAGTGTGTTGTATAGGTTTTTGTGCATGAACATGGTTTCCCGCGGGAGTTTCTGTCCCACACCCTCCCCCTCTGCCTGAAACGCCTCTATTGAACTCCTTTGTGTACTTCCAGAACATAGTGACATTACTAGGTAACACTCAAGCTCCTATTGGCTAGCGCTTCAACGCCATTGTACGTGATGGGCTAGGGGGCTAAGCAGAAGATTAATCACATCTTCATAGCCGACCAGCTAACCAATCAGAGCAGACTGGGCTCTGGTTTCAGACAGAGGGTGAAAAGAGGTTGCAGCACAGGCAGTATGAGAAAAATAAACACCTTTTTGAACATTAAAGCATGGAGACATGTCACAGTAGAGGCACTTAATATAAATATGCCCCTGAAAATGAGCATACTATGTCCTCTTTAAAGCGTTCATTAAAACTCAGTCTCACCTGCTTTGCTCTTCTTGGCTGCTGTCTCTATGTTGGGCAGCCCCACCTCGCTGGGCTCGTTCTTGATGAACAGCAGACAGAAAACAGAGGCCACCACACAAATCATCCCGGAGACAGACAGGATGGTCCTCCAGCTGTAGCTCTGCGTCAGCACGGTGGCGATGATGGGGCCCAGGCTGCCGGCCAGATTCATGCTGCAGGAGAGGATCGCCCACCATGTCCCGAACTGAGAGGGCTCGAACCACTGACAAGAGAAGGGAAAAACTTTAAATAACGACCGGAAATCATGACAGAGGTGACAGGAAGTGTCATTATCTTTGCCTGTGATATACAGGAAGGATCAAATAACTGAACCAGTGCAGTGTTGTGACCTGACAGCAGTTATATCTGAGTGACAGCTGATGTGAGAGGACACATGAAGAACACCATTTGTGGAGAAAACAAATGGTGGAAAAAGTCTGTAAAATGTATGATGTTCATATATTTTCTTGAATAAATAAGATTGAATCATATAACATATTTTGTAATAAATAAAATATTAAAAGAAAAATTATAATATAAAGATAAATAGGTTTTAAAATACACTATTTATTTATTGAATCACGAAAAAATATGCTATATTGTTATATTTATCCTTAATCGGGATAGAAGATTATTGCCTCATATTGCTCATTTTGACCCCTATTCGTTCTTCAGGAGAGAAAATCACATCTATAATAATATTATAATGTCAGTGTGTTGCTAGCAGTGATGTTTTGTGGCTCAGGTACCTTGCGCAGCACCCTGCCGCAAGGGGGCCACCCGAGGCCCTGGCCCAGCCCGTTGAGGAACCACAGGGCGGAGAAGGCGGCGACGGTGGAGGACCAGGAGAAGACCACGTTGATGCATCCCACCGTGCACAGGCCGATGGAGAAGAGCCAGCGGGCGCTGATCTGGTCAGAAAGCACACCGCTGATGAACTTACTGATAGCATAGGCCAAAGACTGGCTGCTGGTGATCATGCCTGGAGGAAAAGAAGGTGGGAAAGGGGAGTTAAAACAGCCAGATACAACTGCAAGAAATGATGGTGCTACATTAGGGTGGTCCTTCGTGAGAGGTACATCTTTTTGAATTAATTTATTTTAAACTCCAACCACCGGAATTCGTTATACTAGTCAAGAAAACTCTCCTGGTGAATTTTATTCAAATTCCAACAACATTTTTTCCTCAATCTGACAACATTTACCCCTCCCTCATCAACCAGGTTGCCACACCAGCAGCCACGGTGCTGCAACTGAGGCTAAACTTCAAGGTTGATGAGGGAGGGGTAAATGTTGTCAGATTGAGGAAAAAATTCACCAGGAGAGTTTTCTTGACTATTAGAATGAATTCGGGGGGTTGGAGCTTAGACTTTCCGACTTTCAATTTTAAGGACCACCCTATGCTACATATATATTTTATTTTACAGGGATGACGCACATTAATAGCCACTTTTGTAAAGATTATCCAAGAGGCTATTTTTCATCTGTAGTCATTGGACATACAGTATGTTGTTTAGTCTGATACACCATTCTTCCTGTAAAGCTAATGTTTCATGTATGAATGAATGAATGTTACAAATGCATGAAGCATAGATGTCGTAATACAAATATAGTGTGTGAGGATAAGTCAATGTAACAGCATGTATTGAAGCAATAATACTTAAGATGATGACATTGTGTGGATTAATAGTTCATCCAGCTTTGGATTTCGAAAACATTCTAGTTTAGAAAAAGCTACCTATGTTCAAATTGGCATTTATCTAATCAGATCAAAATATTGTATTAATCCCAGGGAAAGTTGCACCATATTATACGCTTACACGCTATATACACTTAAGTAAAATTAAAGTTGAAATGCTTTGCAATTTACTTACAATTTGTTAAAGTTACTGGCTCCTTTGACACTTTTTGATATTTGCTTACATCTTTAAATACTGTTAATACTTTTTTTGTGTGTACTTATTAGTTTTTTATAGTTTGTTTCTTTTTTTTAATGACATATGCTTACCTTTTCATTTAACATTTAAGTCTTCTCTTTTTCATTTTGCCTTTTTATCTGCAATGTACCTTTACTGCTGGACGAATAAAGGAATTCTGATTATGATTCAAATAAAATAAATAAATATTTATATAAAATATAAGAAGGTGAAGTAAAAATGTGCAATAAAAGTCCTGGATTAACGTGTGTTCTTGGAGCTTGCAGCATACATAAGGTGAATATATAGTTTTAAGAGTCTCATACCCAGGTCATCCTTGTCCAGCTCAATTTCCTGCATGACAGAAGGCATCACAAAGGAGAAAGTCTTTCTATTGAAGTAGTACAGCGTGTATCCCACAAACATGGCCAGGAATATAGTGCCTCGGTAGTATCCATAACCTGCTGAAGCCATGGCTGCAGATTTAGTCCTGTAAAAATGTGAAAAACTGGAGAGAGGAGCAAGCTCCTGCCTGTGACAGTGAACTTTGCTTCTGGATCCGCTGGATCAAATCAGCTGCTCACAAGAAAAGTGCTCACTATCAGTCAGGGAGGTTAATGGTCAACTTCTCTGCCCCAAAAAATGATTTCATCTGAGCTGTTACCATGTACTGCAGGCCATTGGGGGATGGCAAAGAAAATCAATCAGTGTGTTACATCAACGCTGTGCATGATGTGTTGTTTTCTGTATTTATAAAAAGGGTCCCTCCGCTTGAACAGTAACCTACGTGTTCTTTTCCTCTTTGGTTGTTTGTCCATCTGAGGCGGTTGTGGTAGGAGTCCTCACATTGAAGTGGTTAATGATTTATTGTGGAGTCCAATAGTTACAGTAGGCCAGAGGGAGGCTCCTCTCCCAGTGAGGGTGTGCGTGTTTAACAGCAGCAGACCTATCAGACACAAACAGTGTGCACAAAAAGAGAGATTCATTGTGGGTTGTGGGAAAGTGCATGCGAGTAAGACATGAATACAACGCCTGTATATCTCAATTAAAGCTTAAACTGCATGTATAATCGACCATCTACAAACACGTCTTTTTTTTTGTAGGAAGCTACTCTTAATACCTCTGTTTGTCCACCTCCTCCTTTCTGTGCAGGAAGCCTAATCTTCCAAACTTCTGCTGTTGGACGTGTCCACTCAATTCAGCCATGGTAAAATCAACTGCTGGAAAATGAAAACTTATGGAATGTTGCAATGATGACGTATTTTTGTAGGCCAACGCTAATGCAGACTCGTCTCGGCGTGATGACGTTTAGTCGTTTATTCAGTAAACTGTTAGCAACCGCCGGTTTTATGACATTCAAGAAGTTTTCGTACATTCAAGCATGGGGTATTTAATGACGTATATTATGTCGAAGAACAACAAATCTCGGAAGAAAATAACGTCACTACTACCATGGATGTATAATAAGAACCGGTCACTCCGGTTGACGAGGGAACCGGAAGTAGTAAAATGTTAAATTACATCCGGGTTTAATTTTTTGCCTAGAATAAATGGCAACTATTTTATTCTTGTAAATTACAAAAAGTAAACGAATATTCAATATCATGTTTAAATATTTGCAGTGTCTTTTTACATCCGGGTTTTAGGACTCTACTGACTGTTACGGACGATGACGTCACATGGTCCCGCCTACGTTTAGCTCTCACGTTTGTTCCCATGGCAACGGACAACAAACATTTCTAAATGTCGCCTCGTTGTAAAATGTATGAGTAATCTAGCAAAAATATAAATCGTATTGTCAGTTTTGTACCGATTAGCTTCACTTTTTTCAGATTTGCTAACTTGATAACTCATTGTACGTTGCCACCAATAACCGAACACCATGGTAAGTTCCATTTATTTTACATTAGGTGCTAAATCTCTTCTTTATTTTATTTTCCTTCGTGTTTATTTATGGTTTTCGCACTTGTATGTCGCCTTGTATAAAAGCGTCAGCTAAATGTACTGTAATTTACTGTAATGCAATCTCTTTATCTAATAATTTAGATAATAATAATTGTCCTATATAATGTGTCTGTTTTTTTTATCTTACGTATTTTAAACCTTTGTTTAAACTGATGAAATAAGTATTGTAGACCATTTAGTAGTTTGGGTTAGCGTAGTTTAGTTTTTAGGTTTTTTGTTTAGTGTGGTCTGTCTTTGGGGGGTAATGTTTCTGAATAATACATGAACCCTCTCAGTCTCAGTTTCAATGCTATGTTTATTGTCTGGGCCCCTATTCTCAAACTTACTATAGTTTATTGGGGTGTCCCATTCCACATGTCTCCATTATTTCTTATGATTGTTCTTGTATTTTTATTTAAACTTGTGAATAAATAAAATTATGATTAAGATGAGGTTACTCCCTGTAGAGACTGGGATCCAGCTCCACAAACTCCAGGAACAGCACCGACACCCGGCGGTATCGCACCCGGGCCCCCACCTCTCAGGTGGATGAATCCCTCTTTGCGAGCCCCAACACGGTGAGTGAGTGTAGTCAATATTGCAAACACTCTACAAAATATATCATATCAGCATATCACAAGTTGTATATGTCAAAGGAATTATTAGTGTTAAATTAGTAAAACTTACAATATTAGCCTATGAAATGTGTATAAATATTAAGTAGCATAAAATCAAAATATCAAAAAAAGTAAAGTACAATAAAAAAAGTATGGATTAAATGTACTTAGTTACTTTTCAACACTGGCTATAACAGTACAATGTAGGTCTACCTAGATGTAATCTTTAGTTTTTGAGTGTAGTGTGTTATGAATGTGTTTGTGAGATGTTGCTTACACCCTCTCTCCATATGTCATCACAGGTAGACGTGAGGCGTGGAAACTCCTCCAAGTCTACAAAGAGTCCGCCTCAGAAACACCAGGAAGGAGCGACGGTTCAAATTGTCACCAAAGACCTCATCCGCAACATCAGGTACACACACACAAACACACACACACACACACACACACACACACACACACACACACACACACACACACACACACACACACACACACACACACACACACACACACACACACACACACACTCTACAAAGAATGGAGTCGGTGGAATGTTTAAATTTTACTTGAAGTACCAACAGTAAAAGTACTGGTTGGTTACACAACCACAGTTTAAATACACAAATGATTGATGTTAAGTATCCTGATAAATAAGAGGTATAGAAGAGACAAAAAGCATAATTATTAAATGTATTCTTATAATGCCAAATGTTCCAGGATCCCATTCAAGGACCCTTCAGGAGAATCCGTCATTTTACCATCGGCTGACTTTAAGCGGATCACCTCAGAGTCCCGGGTTCTGACCAAGGAGGAGCGGGCGGCCCTGAAGGAGGCGCACCAGAAGAAAAAAGATGAGGAAATTGTAGGAAAACATAAAAAACGTACATTTAAATATCCCTTAATAAGATTTAATAAGTATTTTCTCTAAAACATACCTTTTGATCCAGAAAAATGCGGAGGACAGGAAGCGTCAGATCTTTGAGGCGGACCTGTCCCGGCAGGAGAACCAGGCGCTGACGGAGCTGGAGCTGGAGGCCCGCGACCGAGCGCAGCACCTGGTGAAGAGAGCCAACAACCTGAGGTTGGAGCAGGAGGACGAGATCCGGAAACTCAACAAGGTGGGGAACAGCTGCTCACATCTGGACCGCACATGTTTAACAATGTTGCCTATCTACTGTATAAGAGAAAGGTCAACTATTATTTCTCTAAATAAGAAACCCTCTTACACTCATGACCGTACACGTGATTTTATAATAAGGTCCAAAATCAGCCTGCTGGGGGGGGGGGTTGGGGCTCGCAGATCTTTGAAGAATAATACATGAGTACCAGGTTAAAAGTTCCAATGAAATGTGTGTGTGTGTGTGTGTGTGTGTGTGTGTGTGTGTGTGTGTGTGTGTGTGTGTGTGTGTGTGTGTGTGTGTGTGGCCCTCAGCTGATCCTGGGTGCTCAGTGTCAGGCCACACGTGACGTGCAGATGGAGGAGAAAAAGCAGATCCAGAGCGAGCTGACGGAGGAGGAGCAGCGCCTGGACGCGATGATGGAGGTAGACCGCCGCCGGGCGCTGGACACCGTGGATCAGATCGACAAGCTGCGCAAACAGAAGAGGATCGAGTGAGGAGACGCTACTGCAAAACACACACACACACACACACACACACACACACACACACACACACACATCATAATTCATGCAGGTGGACAAAGTATTCACACTTTTTACTTCAGTAAAAGTGAAAACTGTTAAAGTACTCTAATACCACTAAAAGTCCTGATTTAAAAACCATACTGAAGTAAAACAAGTTTTGGCATCAAAATACTTATACTTATACTTATATATAGTATAAAGTAAAAGTACTGGTTATGCGTATTAGCCCATTTTAGAAAAGCTTTATTCTCCAGTCTCCAAATCACCACGTTTGCATTTTTCACTGCACAGGACGGGTATTAAATTGTGTTCTCTATAAAGTAACTAAACCTGTAATTTTGTGGAGTAAAAAGTACAAGTTTGTCTAACCCTGACTTTTGTTGTGTGAAATACCTGCTAGCTGGTACTACGCCTAGTGGAAACGCAACCAAAAACGGGCCGGTCATGGCACGCTTAAACCGCGTTCCGCGCTATAGTGGAAATGCGCCACTTGAGACCCAACTCAATGAACCTGTCACTGTGCTGTTTAGCCAGCGAACAATAGCTATCTATCTAACGTGTGTGTGTGTGTGTGTGTGTGTGTGTGTGTGTGTGTGTGTGTGTGTGTGTGTGTGTGTGTGTGTGTGTGTGTGTGTGTGTGTGTGTGTGTGTGTGTGTGTGTGTGTGTGTGTGTGTGTGTGTGTGTGTGTGTGTGTGTGTGTGTGTGTGTGTGTGTTGTGTGTCCTGTGTGTCCAGGGGGATGCAGAAGATCACCGAGCAGATCCAAAGACAACATGAGGAGAAGCAGCTGCAGGACGAGGTGAAGGAGCTGGAGAAGCAGCAGGCCCGGGAGAAGCAGGAGAAAAACAACCTGGAAGACCTGGAGGTGACCAGTGACCTCACTCAGACCCTGCAGAGACATGTATACCAGTACTAATACTAGTACTATACCAGTACTAGTACTTTGGAGTCTGTAGGTTCATCCAGAAACCTGAAAAGGCCTCCTTCACTCTCTTCCTAACGTCTTAGCTCCGTCCTCATACAACCGTTATGTAATTCCAGATATGAAATTGGCATAACTTAAATCTAATCTTTTGAAAAAAATAAAATGAAAAATAAATCAATGTTAAAAGTAGGGTAGGTAAGAATGGAGAAACCAGCTCGAGTGCGCTCGAATTTGAAAGTACGCAGCCGAAAAAAATCTGCCCCTTCCTTCAGACTTCCTTACAGAGCCCCTCCTCCAACACACACGAACGTGCACATGACCAATGAGGGCACGAGATAAGTTTGTGCACGAGATGGAAGGCTGACAGGCAGGTAGGCCATCCAGTTATTTTAGCCGGGCCGGCTCAGATGATTGGTCGTGCTTTTTACAGCGCCACGGCTTCCACAGATGAAATATTTTATGTATTTATTGTCAAAGCATTGTCAGAGCATTCCATGGAATATAACAAGTGTTTCTGAAGGGAATTACCTACCCCACCTTTAATAGCCATACATATAATAATAATAACAACAATAATTATAATAGTTATAATACTATAATAATAGTAAAATATTAATAATAATCTGTATGGATCTTATATTATGTTATCAGAGTTTTTGTTTTTGTTTCAGATGAACTTTTGTTTTGGTTGTAGAAAAGCACATGTGATTGTATGACAGTGTGACTGTTTATGTTTGACTGAAATTCAAGCACATTAATAAACATTTTATAACTTTGATCAGCCGCAGTATACGCCACGGCTCTCCTCTCTCCTCCGGGTGCATTTGAGCAATCGGGACGTCCTTCAACATGGCGTGGTCGAGGAGTTGAGGTGGGACATTAGGATGAACCCTGTTTCCTCTCTCTTTCTGGTTTTCCTCTTCCTCCTCCAGGCTCTGGAGAAGAAGAGGAAGACGCAGGAGTGCCTGCAGGAGGAGATCATGCGCATCAACGCAGAGACCATGCAGGCCAAGGAGAGGAGGCTGGAGGAGGAGAGACAGGCCGACATGAGGGACATGGAGTACTTGAAAAACAAAATGGTCAGAAAACAAGCAGCTCTAAAAAACTCAGAATCACTTTGTAACAGTGGTACAAAGAATAACTCTATACATATCTGTGATTTATTATCTTTGAGATATAGTTTTGTGTTTCCATATTTGATCCATATGTCATGACCTCTGCAGGAGCGGGCTTCAGAGTATGAAGCAGAGCAGAAACGCTTGAAGAAGGAGAAGGAGCTGGAGATTGCTCGGCTGAGGACCCGACAGGAAAAGGCAAAAGACTACAAAGCAGAGCAGGTCAGAAACAAATACCAGCTGAGCTATTTAGTATAACAATGGTGTCCTCTGCTCAGATATTATATTATAAAAAACCTGCCCTTCATTAAGCATATTCAGCCGACAGAAAATGCTCCGTTTTAGTGTCACATATTTTATGAACAAAGAGGTTATATGAACCTACTGAATTAAAACAGAACAAATGAAGCAAAGAAAGTGAGAACCATAAAGCAGATTCAGGCAGTAGGCGTATAGATTCACACTTGAAGTATTATCCTACAGAACAGTACAGTTTACAGAGAAGAAATACAATCTGATCCTTTTACAACAAACACTATATGCTCTTTTTTGTTTTTTACTAACATTGCAATCCTGCTAGTAAAACTAAAATGTTTGAAATGTAATCTGATTATTTTATGTAACTGAAAGGGAATACATTTACCTTTTTTTTCTGTATCCATTTTACGGTTACATCATGTAATCCATTACTCCCCCGGGCTGACCGTTGATAATGTGTTGTGTGACAGGATGAGCTGCGCGCTCGGAGGAACCAGGAGTTTAAAGACAGAGACTGGAGGAGTAAGCAGAAGGAGCTCGCTGTGAAGAAGGCGCAGGAGGAGGAGATGCTGATGGCGGCGCGCACCGAGCAGGTTCGCTGCAAAGAGCACTTCCTGTCCATCGAGGCCGGCCGCGAGAAGGCAGAGTTTGAGAGGGTGCTGAGGTTAGAAACTGCACTTAAACGTTTTTTCACATCGTCATCCCTTTGAGTTGTGGTGGAATAAGTGGAAAGGAAAACAAAATACTTGAGTATACAAGTCGCTCACATTTGTTCTTAACTGCAGAACTCAGTTAGATTCCACCACTGCATTTATCCACACATTCAGCTCCATCTTAACCCATCTTAACCCGGACCCATTTCTACTTTTGGGGAAATTAAGGGGAACACCATTTAGACTAAATAGACCACCTAGAACACATTTCTGACAAGTAACCCCCCCTAGTGTCAAATATCTGAAAAGTGACATATATGTCACATTGGGCTTTAATGGTAAAATAACTCTTATTTTTAACTTAATTAACGAGGATGATTTTTTCGTTTAAATTAGTTTGAACATTCTTTGAATTGAAGAATAAAGAATATATCAACTCAATATAATTGAATCAGCTAAATTAACTGAGCAGATCATAATAATATTTCTAATTGTGCATACATGTCACTTTGGGTTTACTGTGAAAGTTTAGGGTTAAAGTCCCGATGTGACACCAGTGTCACAGCGATTTTTATCTAATTTGTTTCATATCAATTTGATCAATACATGTTTTCACAACAGGTCCAATGTAATAAAGGACATGTTATGTAAGCATTTTAATTCTTAAATGGCTTGAATTTTACCTTTAGCAACAAACAAAAAAGCTTTTGAAATGTAGCTCGTTATGTCACATGTGTTAGCCTGGCACATGGACATCTTGGACATGTTGTCATGGGAACACAACATCAAATGTCCTGGACCAGGACCCCCCAGAGTGTTCAGGGTGTGTCACTTAGGGACTTCATGAGATAAAATAAAGGCTAAAGCTGAATAAGGAACTTTCCAGAACATTTAAAGTTCATGTGACACCCGTGTCAAGGTGGGTCCTTATGGGTCAATTACAAATCACTGCCACTCTCTCCACACAGCGCGCAACTGCAAGCCATCGTCAAACTGAAGGAGGAAGAGGAGAAGCGGCGTCAGAAATCAAGCCGCCACGCAGAGGCCATCAGGACCCAGGTGAAGGAGCAAGAGCTGTCGGCCGTGGCCAAGCGCAGAGAGCTCTTCAAGGAGAGCGAGCGGCTGATGGAGGAAGACCGGCAGAGACGCGTCCGCCTCGAGGAGATCAAGGAGAAGAAGCTGCAGGAGCTCAAGTCAGTACAGAGGCCCTAGTCTGCTTTTTGGGGGGTTTTCCCTTTGCTGTGGTGTGTTCTATAGGTTTCTGTGCATGTTAATGGTCTGCAAAGGCTAAAATCCCTGTTCCCTCCAGAGGGAGTTTCTCTCCTCTCTACGTTTAGACCCCAATGATTAAAATAAGGGCTATATTTAGCTGATTTACAGACATCTCTTTCCCAATGTAATTCAATAGGAAAAAGTATTTTTGGGACAAATTTACGTCACAGACTAGAGCGTAAGTGTAGTGGCCCGGCACTCTTCCATTGGACCCTTGTTTACTTACAGAACATAGTGACATCACTATGTAACACTTGCGCTTCTTTTGGCTAACACATTGTACGTGATAAGCTAAGGGGCGGGACATCTCTCAGCAGTTGACCAATCACAACAGTGCCGGCCAGCTAACCAATCAGAGCAGACTGGGCTCTGGTTTCAGACAGAGGGTGAAAAGAGGTGCTGCAGCACAGGCAGTATGAGAAAAATAAAGAGCTTTCTGAACATTAAAGCATGGAGACATGAAGTAGAGACACAAGATACTGATATGGACCTGAAAATTAGAATATGTCCTCTTTAAACTAACTTGTGCCTTCTCTTTGCTGCTGCTACTTTTATCTATTTGAGGGAAGCCTACATTACCTGACAATATATTCTGATTCTTAAGGCTGATATTTTGACTGTCTTTAACTGAATGAACCGTGTGTGTGTGTGTGTGTGTGTGTTGCTCTGCAGGGCTACAGGGCTGTCTGAGAAGTACTGCAGCGATGTGGAGAGGAAGGCCCGGGCCTGCGCACTCTGATTCGAAGACATCTTACAGGGTCTCATTTAACCAACATAAACACTCACTAATGTAACTTGAACATCAATAAGAATAAAAATGTTTGCACTTTAGAAGCTTCTGACCAGTGGTTTGTAGACATTTCTATTTCCTGTCAGACAGACAGACTCCGCGGGACACCGGGTACAATTTTTTGTTTTTATTTCGGCTAGTATTTCCCTTTCAGTCGAGTCATATTCTTCCACTTATCAATGACAGATCCCCTTTTTTATTAATATGCATGACAACAGAAAGGAATTCAACTTATGTCAGGGTTAGGATGACACTTTACACACACACATACACACAGCTTAAAGCATGTAAGGAAGTTAAAGTACATCAAGGTAAATACAGGCTCTTATTTCACAGCGTTCCTGATGGAGAACAGGAAGTAGTGAGACCTAATCTCTTTTCTTCTGAACCATCTAAACACACGACCTACAGGAGTGTTCATGGATGTAGCTGTCAGCGGGACACACTGCCGCCTGCTGCCTCCTGGTGGTCTTGCATTAACGGAGGAGGAGGGCAGGACAGGAGTGCGGGTGGAGGACAGATGGGTGGGGGTGTCCATCGAAAAGTTTTCACATCTGTACACGCAGAAAAAAGGGGGAGTGGTGACCGAAGGGGGGAAACACTACAACACCTGGCGTACACGGACCTCAGCAGGAGGAGGCTCCGGGTAAATACACACACACACACACACACACGGTACGGTTGGGGGGTTCGGTCGCCGTGGTCCCGTCACATACACAGATACAGTCTCACACAAGCACTGTACACGGCACAAGAGGTCACCTAAATACAGGGAACCAACGAAGGAATGCTAACATCTAGGGGGGGGGGGGGGGGGGGGGTTACCCATACAGGCTGAGAGGGGTTAAAATTCTTATTTAGACCAATCAGGTCACACTCTTGCTCACATACACACACACATCCACACGGTGACATACGTCTGTATGCATTTAAAACTCCATAAAGCTACACGCCTGTGCAGAATATACTATCATTACTTAGTGTTGCTAGCTATAGCCGACGAAACGGCAATATATGTTCAAATATTATATGTAACCTTCTTTCCTCAGAATATACAATGATGATGCATTATACAGACAGACGAGACGATGGAAGCCGTTCACATGTTCGGTACGTCAGAGTAAGAGCTTCTCTACATTAATTTCTTCACGAGTGCAAAATCCAATGCTCCTCCACCTACTTCAAAAGGATGGTCGCTGAGCTTTAGCAAGTCCACGTCTGCACAAACCATAAAACAATACAAAAAACAACAACATGACAATAACATAACACACAAAAAATATTCTAAATAAGTAGTCATAAATATGGAATGTGAAAAAAACAAACATGTGGTCCAATTTCTTTTCAAACAATACAAATAAAAGTCCTTCAGTCAAATGTTTTCTCGCGACGACAGAATAATAAAAAAAGAGTCAGAATCAGAGTGGGCTGCTTGCTGTGGCCCCTGCTGTGAGTAGAGGACCATGGGAAGCTGGTGAGGAACACAGAGAGGGGGGGGGGGGGGGGGGGGGGGGGGGGGGGGGGGACAGATGGGAGGGGGGGGGGGTGTTGGTGGTGGGGGGGTTGTTGGGTGTTCACATGCCGTAGCCGAAGCCGGGCTGCTGTGGTGGCTGGCCGTATCCGGGTGCTGCTGGGTAACCGTAACCGTACGGCTGCTGGGGGGGAACGGCCACGTTGGGCCCCGCCGTGAGCATGAGCTGAGGGGAGCCTGCAACACAGAACAGAGGGGTTAGAGCTGCAGGCAAACTGTCAAATAATAATAATAATAATAATAATAATTCATTACATTTTTATTAGAGCGCTTTTCCAGGAGCTCAAAGCGCTCTACATCACATATTATACATATTAGACATGTAACAGCTTTTAATGTGGACAACACCCACAGGAGAAAATGAGGGTGAAGTGTCTTGCCAGAGGCGGGTTTCGACCTGGTGTTCCCCAACTCCCCTTGATCTGATGATCAACGCTCTAGCCCACTGTGCTAAAACCGCCCAAATAAGGGGTCTTGATCAGCTTCAAGTCGGGTGTTCCTTTTTCATTAATGACAATTTTATTAATGACATTTTTATTTTATTTTATTTAATCTTTAAGTTTGATTTTTTTTGCTTGTTTATATAAATATCTTGATTTTATTCCATCTTTTTATGCACAATCTTAATTACTCTTTATTCATTAAAACAATTGAGCAACGAAACCCAATTAACCCCAGGCTAAATAAAGTATTAAAAATAAATATGTAGTATTTTTATTTTGTTTTATCTTTATCTGACCTTTTACAGATGTCTATATAAATATCTTTATATTCCAACGTTAACTTCTTATGTTCATACAATTATTTTATACTATTTGTGACATTTCTTTTTTTAAATGGAGCAGCTATCACAAAAAACCCCAGGATAAATAAAAGTATTCTGATATATAAATAGTTAAATCTTCTATTTTTATTATTTGTCATTACATTTTTACGATAACTTGTTATGCTTGTAAACCTATTTTTCTTCATTTTTTCTTCTGAAATGGAGCAACCCTATTTCCCCCGGGATAATTAAAGTATTCTGATTAAAAACCTGCATATTCCTGCTAATTTAAGATAAAATAGGTGCACGTTTCTTCTAGAACAACAACAACAACAACAAAGATCTGTGAGGATGATATTTACCGTAAACGATGGGTTGGGACTCGGTGTTCTGCTCCTCCTGTTTCCTCAGGGACTCGGAGGCTTCCAGTTTGTCGACCTGTTGAAACACAACGAGCCGGCGTCAGACTGCAGCGTCACCGCGGTAACGGCGCTGAGGCGACGGCTTGTAAAGAAACTGACCTCTGTGTTATTTCACTGGCTGACGGATGGGACCAGGCGCAGACGAATACAGTCCAGATTTAAATAAAAAGAGAGAGCTGCAGGAGGCACGCCCCGTAACGTGTTGCAACTACAGCTAGAGAGCTACGCTATAAATCACATCCACCTCTTTGTGTTAGGGGTAAAGGAGACGGACACTAACAGCTACTACTGGGTTATTATGGTCCCACCATCCAGCCACCCATCTACTCCGTATGTAGAGAACAGACCCCCAACCAGCACAAACACTGACAAGAGAAATAGATGTTTTCACCTGTTTATTGCAGTTTATCTGAATAGAGCGCCACAGTGACGCGTCCTAAAACCCGGAAGTAAACTCCTTCCGGTTCCTTCGACAAAAACACAATGCAATTTCTCCATAGGATTTTGGAAAATAGCTGGAAATAAGGTCTGTGGTTGACACACATTTAAGAGATGGATCACGTTTTGTTCAGCCGGATAATCTCCACATGTCTACCCTACTTTTATAATTTTCTAATCATAAATCTAGTCGCCAGAAGCTAAATGCTAACGTTATGCTATAAACGAACTACAGCAGGGTCGCTGCTTCAACGTCACGCCAACTTAAGATCCATGTTCAAAACTACAGATTCTAAATTGTACAAGTTGAAGCGTTTGTTTGAACAGTTTGCAGGAGGCAGGTACTTGCTTTCAAGCAGAACACGGGGAAAACAAACTTAGAGGAGTGTTTATGTGTTCGGCGTAATGACGGCCTCGACAACTTCTGTAGTCCTATTCAGCCACTTGGTAACAACCATCGTTTTTCAGACACGTAAACTCTTCAGAAATCACCAGTGGGGTCACTGCTGATGTATTTAATGTCGTAGAACAAAACGTGACCCGTCTCTTAAATTTGTGTCGACCACAGACCTTATTTCGAGCTATTTTCCAACATCCTATGGAGAAATTGCATTGCTGTTTGTCGAAGGAACCGGAAGTGGTAAAATGCTAACTTACTTCCGGGTTTTAGGACGCGTCACTGCGGCACTGTATATTGTTGCATTTAAGTGAGGTTCTTCTGTCAGTAATACATCTAAAACAATTTCAGCTTTACATATAAACAGATTCTCTAAGACTGAGCTCTAAAGACGTTAAGTAAAACTGAGATATGCTTAATGCAGGCTTAGGGAGTAATGGATTACATGTAACGGGTAATAAGGATACAATAAAAGTGTTTCCTTACAGTTACATAAAAAGGAGATTACTAGCAGGATTAAAAATGTTACAATACATTCAATATAAAGATGAATTGATATCACAGGTAGACGTACTGCCTGAATGTTGTTTTTGTTTATTTACTTTCAGTCTTTTTATTAAAATGCAGTAGGTGGACTCCTGACTTATTAAACAATACTGTTTGCTAAGCTTTTGTAAACTATCAAACGGTATATTTAATTAAGGACACATTTTGATCCTAACTCCTAAAAAACTAACCTTATTTTGCTTTGTTGATTGATCTTACAAATATTCGTATGCGCTTCTGAAATTTGAAAAGTCATTGTCAAATAAATCCTACAGAGGAAGGTGATTTTACTCGTCCGTAACTTTACTAATTTTTTTTATTTTTTTTTTTAAATGGGTCGTTTATTTATTTAACCTTGTTTTGCATTTAGGGGAAATTATCAAATATTGCAAGAAAGTGTTTTATTTTTGCAGGCTTTCTGTGTGTTTGTGACTTTTAACATTTAGGGAGGCATGCTTCAGCCCACTTAAATAAATAAAAAATATAAAAAACCCCACAAGAAGCATGCAGAGAACTAATTTAATGTTTTTCTGCTTTAGTAGAAGCAAAGCAGCTCAGAGGCAGACGATGCTGGGAAGAGATAGAGCTAAAAAAAACAAGACGGCTCAGACCTGACCCTGAGCTGAGACAGAGCGCAGGTTAAACTCTGATAAAAGGTGGTTCTGGGATCAGTTCTCTACACACGCTCTGGGTTCTACTCTACAGTCAGTCACTCTGGTACTGCAGGCTCTTCTGAGAGAACACGGGCTCTGCTTTGGTTTCAGAGGAGGGTTGAGACACATGCTGAAGCGGCAGTTGAGTTACTTTCATCTTGAAGAGTGCATGAGAGAGAAAGACAGAGAAGGACAGTGGGGGGGGGGGGGGGGGTGAGAGAGGAGTGGGGGGTTGATGCTTTTTGTACAGCCAGTTTTCAAGGTTTCCAGAAGCAGGCACAGCCGCAGCCACCTATTAGCCTGGCCCGAGTGCTGCTGATGCTACAGCCACGGGGGAGTGCATGCTAGCGTTACATGTCCCCCCCCCCCCCCCCCCCCCCCCACCTTCAAAGATATCACTCAAACTGAATATTTAATATATTTAATACTTAAGCTGTTTGTTGCCTAAAGGCCTGTGTCCACAAAGTGCCTTTTCCTGAGTCTTTTTTCAACCAATGCTAATATGAGAACATGACGTTGCTAGCGGCCGACAGGAAAAGTGCAGCTGACATCAATGTAGAAAGTTAGAGGAGATGTTTGTTTTTGACCATGTCTGCCAGATGGAAACTATCGTAACAAGAACAGAAAAGCCCGTTTGGCCGACAAACACTGGATGTTGCTGCCGGTGAGTGTAGAACTTTAATATGTACAACATGTACTTTAATATGTACTACATGTATGAGTGTTGTACTTTTATCTCTGTATGCGGATCGTCCTCCTTGATCTACGGCTGTCAGACTGTGTGGTGAAGCTCATTCAGACAAAACCTGAGAGTAAGAATCTACCAGTGGGTGTTCGTGGTGTAAAAACATGCCAAACTAATATATAGAAGCACAAACGGATAATAAAATCCTAGCAGGCGATGCTAGTCTGTCAGCAATGATACGTTGCTGGCAGCATGTTCTGTTTGAGCCGCTGAGAGGAGGCCTTTCTGACAGAAGGAGACGCTCTGTGGACACAGGCACTACAGAGACCACACTTTACTGTAGCAAAGAGACATTTAAAAAGAAATACCCCTCTCTGAAAAAGCCTGTACTGGCGTTTATGCTTTCATAAAAGGTCTGAGATAAATTCAGTAATTTAGACAAACAAGGAGAAAGATAATAGAGGGATTACTTCATTAAAACTACCGCACTTCTATCACTAAATCAGGGTTTGGATGGAGCTGCAGACTTCCCTCTCAGGGTGTAGTTATTAGTAAGGTCTGCCTGCAGCTGAGGGGAGTTACAGGAGAGTTAAACATCAGGATTAATCTACACATGTGGTGAGAGAAGGACCTGACCACAGCAGGGAGGTTATCTGCAGAGCGACGCTCCTCACTGAGGAAGGCTGCTGGGGGTGCTGCTGCAGTGTGTTCGAGGAGGAACATCTGCAGACTGTAGGGCGAACCCTGCAGCTCATTCTTCGGCACTGTGACAGTGTTTTATTCCATAGACTCACTGCATCGTACGGCGAGGCTCTACGCTCTTATTTTGAGGTTTTGCAGTTGTAAATTGAACCTGGAACTTTGTTGCATTTCCAAGCAAGTAGTGACAATACCAGAAGACCAGAGGTGGAAGGAGTACTCATATATCCTTGACTTAAGTAAAAGTAATAATACCACTGTGTAGAAATACTCTGTTACAAGTCAAACTCCTGCATCCATTGTTTTACTCAAGTGAGCGAGAGGACATCACTATTTTGGGGGGGGATCAAATATATCCAAATGGAGTTGTAATTAAGAAATGCATGACAGAGTGGTAAGAGAGTTTTTTTATTTTATTATAACATGATTTCTGAACTTGTCCTCTGTATAATGTGAGCTACACAGCGCATATTATCTCTGCTGCTATCATACTGCAGCCCTGTCCACTATCTCACTCCTGTGACACTTCAACAAACTGGAGCATGGTTCATCTAAAAAGCCTTTACTCTGTTTTCACCTAAAGAACCAGTGCATTGTGGGAGTTATGGTGGATAGTGATGGTTCCAACTGATGTCCAGTGGTCTCCAGTCAGTGTCTCTTGTCCTGATTCCTCTGCTATCTTTGCCTTTTCACCGGCATGTGATTCATGCTAAAAGTCGTGGTAGTACAAGAGCAACTTTAGGTCAAACTTGTTGATGAGATTCATTTGCTATCATTTTTTTTTAAAGCGTTAAGGTTTGCAGATTACTCGCCAGCATTGACAGCCCTAGTTAACACAACTTCTCTCAGAGTTTTTGCCAGTTTGAATCAATAACTCTGTTCAGAGCCTCACTGACAGCAGCAGCCCTGAGAGCTCGGTGTGAGCAGCGCCGCTCTGCAGGCGGAGGGTCAGAAGTGGTCTAGAGGAGATGTGGAGTTTACAATCAGAAGCAGCAGAGTGACACAGGAGAGGGGGGGGGGGCATGCAGTTTCTGCTAAGTTCACTCCTCCAAACTACAGACTACAGGCTACAGGACGGGGGGAGCGGGGTCAAAAAGAACGATTAGAAAATGGATTCGACTTTCACCTTTTCCTTTATCGCATCAACCTGGAAAGGAAATTCAGAGAGGCAACTTAAGGAGGAAAAAAAAACAAATGGAAGTCTGACAGAGAGAGCAGAGCAGACACACGGCTCGTCACTTAAAGAAAACACTAACAACGCCACTTTTTATACAAATGCAGACGTGAGATCCTTCTGGTACTGGGAGTTTCACCTTGTTGATTACAACAGTGTAGAAAATAAAATACAGGGCGTGCAGTTTAAACACTTGAGAGATGTTCTACACAATGTACACTGTATAATGCAAAGGTCTAAGAACATTATTTACTGTGACTTTGCAAAGGATTCCTTGTTTTAAGGAACCAACTTGTGGGGTTTTCAACAAAACGCCACAAGATGTTTGTCTAACTGTCCGCTGATATTACACACATGTGACCCGCTCTATCGAAATCAGTCGGAAGTCGCAACGGCTCATTTCAAAATAAACATGGATTTGCGGGTGTTTTGTTTGATTTTAACTAAACAAAGTCTTGGCTTTCAGAATATGAAACGTTTAGGGTTCATGTTTGAAGCTTGTAAAGGGAAGATGACAGCTCTCACTCGCACCCTGCTCTTTCTCAGCGCCGCTCCCCCTCCCTCCGCTGAAATGATGAATGTAAGGCGTATAGTAATCATAGATAACACGGCAGGGTCCGTGACGGTTTGTTTTCATCTGATTTCAATTAAACAAAGTCTTGGCTTTCAGAATATTAAACTTGTTTCGGCAAATTTAGATGATAAATACAACTTTGAAGCTTGTGACGGCATCATTACAAGCGGAGAACGGAGTCACACACACACACACACACACACACACACACACACACACACACACACACACACACACACACACACACACACACACACACACACACATCACACACACACACACACACACACACACACACACACACACACACACACACACACACACACACACACACACACACACACACACACACACACACCACACACACACACACACACACACACACACACACACACACACACACCACACACACACACACACACACACACACACACACACACACACACACACACACACACACACACACACACACACACACACACACACACACACACACACACACACACACACACACACACACACACACACACACACACTTCTCCGTACTACTTTGATAATTTATTAGCCGCTAATAATCAATCAACAATCCTGATATCATTAGAAAGCTAGGAATCTCCTCTTTCCAACAGTGTATATAACTCAAAATGTGTCTTCGGGTCAATGCGACTGATTTCGATAGAGCGGGTCACATATGTTGATCTGTTAAAATCCAACAACTTGGCACTTTAAGTTTGGCAAATAAATGCAACACTTTTTAATTTTCTCTCAGGTCTGTGGTCTGTTATGAAAGCAGTAGGTGCCATGTAGCAGAGAAAGATGTCAGCAGAAGCAGGTATGAATCTTCTCTGGAACACATTTGTATGGAAAAGCAGCTCGAATGGAAGAAAACCAAATGATGAAGGAGGACGACAGACAGAGTGACAGAAGCACAGAGCATGAATGGAGGAAAAAACAGGCAGTACTGGAGGGGGGGCTTTATCCTTTAAACTGTCTGTGAGACACTGCCTTTAGATGAATAGTATTCGCAAACATATAATGGCTACTGCTGTTGGATGGGCAAAGAAGCATATAAAGGAATTTAACTGAATATTCCATTTATGAACAGGTGGGGTATTCGGTGGCTCTCCATAGATATGTACAGGTTTGCAAACACAACACCTGACAGCAGGAACAAACCCATCATCTACCCTTTACTTCCACCTCAGGTATCTATAACACTTCCCTCTCTGGTAAACCTTCCTACAGATGCGTTACCTCTGGTGAACCCACCTTAGAGAGATACTCCCTCATGACCTGGATGAAGTATGGCATGGAGAAGTCCATGAGGTTGTGCCTCCAGGCCGTCTCCAGCACCACGTCGGGCCGCAGCAGGTCGTAGCAGGTGAACAAGCAGGCGGCGAAACACTCCTTCTTGTCCTCGTTCAGGAACCAGGCCAGCAGCTCCTCGGCCAGCTCGATATCTTTGGACTCCGACGCGTACTGCATGGCGTCCTGTGTGGGGGGGGGGGGGGGGGGGGGGGAGCACAACAACAGCTCAATGAAACCACTTAAAAGGTAGGGTAGGTAAGAATGGAGAAACCAGCTCGAGTGCGCTAGAATTTGAAAGTACGCAGCCGACAAAAATCTGCCTCTTCCTTCAGACTTCCTTACAGAGCCCCTCCTCCAACACACACGAACGCGCACATGACCAATGAGGGCACGAGATAAGTTTGTGCACAGATGGAAGGCTGACAGGCAGGTAGGCCATCCAGTTATTTTAGCCGGGCCGGTGAAAATAATTGGTCTAGCTTTTTACAGCGCTACGGCTTCCACAGATGAACTTTTTTATGTATTTTTTGTCAAAGCATTTAATATATTCATTGCTATCGGGATGTTAAGAGCATTCCATGGAATATAACAAAAAGTGTTTCTGAAGTGAATTACCTACCCTACCTTTAAGGAGAGGTCAAACATCTGCCGTTAGGGTATCATTGAAATGTGACGATGTGGTTTATATAGGGTTGGGTAACGTTTGGATTTGAACAACTCTGGTTCCAATTTTTGCTCTTAAAATTTAAATAAGTTCACATGCCTATTGCACAGAAATTGTACTTGATATTCACATTCAAACTTCAATTTTTGTCTTTGGTTACCCGGGATGGGGATATAGGATTTGGTTATTTCTCAGAAACCGAGTTTTTGTTCCCAACCCTAGGTTTATATAACTTTGATGCGTTTATACTGAAAGTTATCATTTGTTTTGAATGTACCTTGTAGAGCTTGTCCTTCTTGCAGAGCTCGACGCTCTGTTTCCAGCGGTTGTTGCCCTTGAACAGGTAAGCTGCGATCCTCCTGAACTCGATCAGATCGTGCTTCTCCAGGCCCTGAGCCAGCGAGATGTTGTCGAAGTTGTCGTAGGCATCGATGGAAGTGCGCACGGCCTGGTGAGAGGGAGAGGGGATAATAGATTTAAAAACTGATCTGAACTTATCGAGTACACTGTGCTAGAAGTTACAAATCCCAACCTTTTCCTCACCTCAACCAAAATAAAACAATGTCCCAAACAGATTATCATACAATCAGTATTATTTCATACCGCATAGTCTTCCTCGATGATGAAGAGGTTGTTGAGTGCCTCATTGACTGACTTGTTGTTGTGAGTCTGGACTGACCTCAGGTAAGGTTTAACCAGAGGCAGCTGTTTCACCTGAAGAATCAGAAAGACAAATCATTAATAAAGTATCCTATTAAATGCTTCTCTTGTATCACATATCATTTTGTAAAAACACGGCTCTTTGAGTTTAAAGAAAGCAGTGATGTTCGAGACCTTGCTGAAGTTGTTGACGGCGCGCGAGTGGTCCAGCCGAGGAGAGAGGACGATGAGCAGGTCGTTCAGCAACAACGGTTTGAACTCCAGATAAAACTGCACGGCCTTGTAGTACAGCTCCACGTTGGCCACCTACAATCAAAAACACACATACAATTCCTATTCGACATCTATTAAGGAAGATAGAAGGATGGTAGAGTGTCACTGCTGTTAATAAAAAGACTGGGACTGCCCCTGATAGCATTTGTTTTATTTTACCTTGGTGACAATGTCTTTGAACTGGCCCTCTTTCCAGGCATCAGCTGGGTGGCTCATCATGGTGATGATGGCATTGTCGTATTCCTCGTACTTGTCGTAGAGGAACACCAGCTCCCCCCAGAGGTGGGCCTGCTCTGCTGCCCTGAGGACCTGAAACACACACACGCACAGGTTAGCTTGTTAGATAGATAGCTATTGTTCGCTGGCTAAACAGCACAGTGACAGGTTCATTGAGTTGGGTCTCTAGGTCAACTTGTTTTTATAAATGTGAACTAGGGGTGCAACAACTAATCGACTTAATCGATTAAAATCGATGACCAAATTAGTTGCCAACTAAATCAGTCGTCGATTCGTTGTGTTTCACGCGCCGTTAAACTCCAACGTTATCGTTCTTTTTATCGGTACTGGAGACATTTAAAACATTATGTCATATGTATTATTGCTACATAAACATTATATCGCAGTCTTAGTGTCGCTAACTCGTTTCTAATATGCAATAAGACTGCAAAATGCGTCTATGATGTATTTTCGATCTTTCCAATCCAGACGAGAGATCTCTCTCCCGCCTGTCTGTGTGCGAGGGGGGGGGGCAGTTTACACACACGCAGCTGCTACATGCATGCAACACACACACACACGCAGCTGCTACATGCATGCAACACACACGGCGGAGATGGCGGAGAGAACGCGCCCGAGGTGTGGTTACACTTTACCCGTCTCGATGTGGACAATGCTCGTTACCAAAAGTGCAATAAGAGTTTAGCATGTAAGGGCGGTAACACGAGCAATTTGTCTAAACATTTAGCAAAAGTGCACCACATTCAGACGGAGGAATGCACCGGGTTCGACTGTCTTTCTAGTAGCTCTGTAGCCACATCCACGAGTAACGTTTCCACGTCACGTATGTAATGTATGCTAGCAGCAACACAGGGAGTTAACTCAATTATACAAACATGGGCTAATGATTAGAGGTAACTGAGTTATTTATTTTGTTAAAGTTTCAGCTATTCTGTTTACAGTTCAGTCATCAGATTATTTAATACGATTTGTTAAAACACTGTTGTTTCTTTTGATGTGAAATATTATTTATTTAATTTAAATAAAAAGCAATGTTAGTTTTGTTCACAATTTGTTTAGTTAGCTTACCTTATTTTTTTTCAAAAGAACCGATAAGACTATCGTTAAAGGACCGGATCGATAAGCGGTATCGATAAAAGTAGTAGTAACGTTAAAACCTTAACGATCCGAATAATCGATTAATCGTTTCATTAATCGATTATCAAATGAGTCGTTTGTTGCAGCCCTAATGTGAACACTGTGGACCTTTGTCTACCCTTTGGCAGTGAGGGTTATTATAAACAAGCGACACAAGCTTTAGTTTACAGATGTGTCTCTGGTTCCTCTTGCCTACCTTTGGGATGTTGACACGGGACCAGAAGAGCTCCAGGTGCTCCCTCATCTTCTGCGGTTTGAATTTGGAGTAGAGGATGGCGAGCTCGGTGAACATCCCCATGTGAGCGCGCTCCAGCCCCAGGGCGGCCTCCAGCATGGTGATCAGCTCCTCGAAGTACCCGCGGTCCTGCAGGGAACACACGCACTCAATGACACTAATCATGACCCATTTAGAGACAAAATAAACAACGTAAAAGCCTTAAGTCCCTCAGAGATTGGCTGGTCTAAATATCAGAATCTGAATTTCTTTATTCGTGCCTCAGAGGGGAAATCTAAATAGTTACAGCAGAGAGACAGCACAGTAGGGCTGTGCGATTATGGCAAAAATCATAATCACGATTATTTTGGTCAATAATTGATATCACGATTATTATTAACGATTATCCATTTACTTTGAAAACATCCATTTATTGCAACAAAAAAAATGTGAACAGTATGTTTTTAACAGTTGATTACCCTGAACTTTAAGTATAATTCAACTGAAAAACCAATACAAATAAATAATTAAATAAATAAAACAATTACATTTTTTTTTTTTTTTTATAAAAATAATAATCGTTTTATTTTGATTACGTTGTTTTTGTAATCGTTGCAAGCCAAAATCGTAATCGAGATTAAAATAAGATGAATTGCACAGCCCTACAGTACAGTATAAAACGGTATTAAGGAAGCACACAATAATAAAATAAGCAGCAGCAGCAGCTTCTCACACAGAGGAGACACGGTCCAAGTTACATTACTTAATATACCGATGGCAGTTAATCGGGCGAACGTCTCCCGATGCATTGGGGCTTCTCTAAGCAGGGTTACCCCGGTTACCTGGTAGTAGTTGATGAGTTCCTCCAGTTCGTCAGCATGGACGACAATATGCAGGCCGCACATCTGAGCGAGACGGAACTCCTTTCCTTCTACACACGCAAAACACACCTGCAGGAGAAGAGGATCAAATGTGTTTATGATAGACCAGTGGACAGTACACAGCTCACAGTACTTTGCCGACACTATAGGAAGGCTTCATGTCTCGTTTAAACAAATACATCATCTTTTATATTGTGATATGAGCTAGGCCTATATTTATTTGTCTTTACTGTGATATATACCTTCCTGGAGATATAAAAAAAACCTATATCGCAATAGAAAGTCTTGTTCACAGCCCAACATTTGACACTTTTATTTCCACCTTGAAGACTTAAAAATAAAGCTCCCTCACCTCCTTCCAGGTGCGGGTGCTGTTGGCCTTGCGGGCTCCGTCCACGGCCGCCTGGTACTCCCCGAGGTGCACCAGGGTGGAGGCCAGACGGCCGAAGTTAGAGACGTTGTTGTAGAGCAGTTTGGCTGCGTCATACATCTTATCATCATAGCAACGGTCACCCACCTGTAGAGAAGAGTACAAAAAAAAGCACAATCAGCAAAGTAGCAAACTGTAGAAAGAAATTGTGAGATTGAGAGTGTGTGGAGACGTACTTGCTGAATGTGAGCGTTATTCGGTCCGTTGATGAACTCCTCGAGCTCAGCCAGGCGGTTTGTTTTGGCCAGAGCGAAGATCAGCTCCGTCTCAACGTACGACTCGCGGGCCTTCTTACGGGCCATCTGCAGGAACTTCACCAGGTCCTCCCAGTTTCCTGAAGACAGGATCAACATCAGCTTCAGGACAACATCAATCTAATGCATATTTACAAGGGCTGTACCCAAAGTTCAAAGCTTCGTTGAAAACTTTGATATTCTTTTGAGGGTGCGTATAAAGATTAGAATAGAATTTCAGGGGGTGACATAACAAAATATAACATTTGTAGCTTCATTTCAATAGAAGCTTTAGACGTACACAAATGACCGTCAGTGCAGCCCGCCCCTTATACTTAATAATGTAGCGTCTCCTTTAAATAAAATGGATAGTCCTAAAGATAGCCAAAGTTCCTCTTACCGCTTTGTGCAGCAGCTTGTCCCACCTCCATGTACGCAGAGGGGTCGTCAGCCTTGATGTACGAGTCGATGGCTTCCTTCACCAGACCCTTCTGAAGCTGGGCCTTCGCCAGCTGACTCCACACCGGCGGCTCGTTGCAGCGCTCCGCAAACTCATAGGCTCGGTCCAGGTTACCAATGTGCTCAATGAGAACCTGGACAACAGCAAAACATATTTAGGGTACGGTCAAATTGTCACCGCAAAGAAAACGCACAGCTACCTTGCACATCAGTAATTTATAATAAGAGCTGTTAGAATTCACTAGATGAAATGAAATGAGCTTCTGCTTTCCTTTATTATCTCCTTAAGGATACACTGGTCCACACACTGTATAAAAGTATTTGTGTTCATTAGTAATCCACTGACCTGCACAGCAGAGGTGTTGACATCAAACTTTTTGAAAATAGCGAAGGCCTCCTCAAACAGCTCGTTGCTGATGGCGATGTTGGCGATGTCCGGGGCGTCGTAGTTGTCCAGGCGGTTGATGTACTCCATCACACGAGTGCGGTCGGCTTTAATGGCTGTCAGGATCAGCAGGTTCTGCAGGTTTCTGATAAACAAAACAGGACGTTTTCAGTGAGGGTCTTATTTTCTACTTTACTTAATAATCTTTTATTTGTGTCTTTGCTTTGTAGATGTCCCTCTGTGGGATGAATAAAGGATTCCTGCTCGTCTCACCTGTGCTCACTGAAGACAGAGTTATCCAGGACGATCTTCTCCAGCAGCTCGATGAGCTCGTTGGGGAGGTCTGCGGTCATGAAGGCTTTGACTGTGACGGACACCTCCTCTGGGTCCTGGGTCTCAGACAAGGCCGTCTGCACCACCTGCAGCAGAGAGGGACATTTGGTGTTTTAAGTACATATGAATAAGTCTATAACGTGCATGAAAAGACAAAGGGATGCAAATTGTGTAATGGTTACAATATGAATGCTAACTCTGACCTGGTCGATGAGCGGTCTTCGGTAGTTGTTGGTCTCCAGCAGGACGCTCGCCCACAGCTCAGCATCTTTACGACGCACCAGGTAGCGGGACAGACTCTTGAACAGCGAGTTCTCATTGCACACCTGAAGAAATACAAGACACACACAAACTGTTAATATCACAGGCCACAGTTCAGACATGTCTTAGAACTAATAAAGCAACGACAAAAGTAACCATTCATTAACAAAAAGTGAAACACAAGATGCAACCTATTGCATTTGTCATGTAGCTTGCTTGAACACAGAGGATAGGAATTAGTGCCCGTGTCCACATAGCGCCTTTTCCATTGATTCAGGACACATGCCGTCAAATGCGACCATCTCAAGAAAAAACATTTGGATTTTCTGAGACATGAACTATCATAACAAAGTCAAGAAGCCAGTTTGTGGGAAGATGGGCCAGGCTGGGTGTTGCTGCGGGTGAGTGAAGTACTTTAATATGTACAACATGTACTTTAATATGTACAACATGTACTTTAATATGCACACCATGTAGGAGTGTGGTACTTTTATCTCCGTACACGGATCTTACTCAGTCTACGGCGGTCAGACTGAGCGGTAAAACTCAGTCAGACAAAGTGTGAGAGAAGCATCTTCCAGTGTTCATGGTGGAAAAACAACATCGAACTAATATATAGTTGGACTAACAGATAATAAAATGCATGGGGGCGAAACTAGTCTTTCATCCACATCAGTGATACTTTGTCAAGATATTGTTGACATAGAAACAAGTTTAATAGAAGTATGATTTGGCGTTAGACTCACATGAATCAGCTCCTGGTCACACTGTCCTCTCTCGTAGGCCACGCAGGCCAGGTGGGGGTCTCTCTTCTCGCAGTACTTGCCCACCACGCGGCTGTCGTAGAAGGGGTTCTCCCTCAGGAAGCGCTCGGGGTTGTTGTTGCTGTCGATGTAGATCTTGGCCAGGGCGTTGTGGGTGGCGGGCTCCTCGCAGCCTTCATGAATGCGAGCTTCTAACCACGGCAGCAGCAGCTTCAGTCTGGAGGAAGATGCACAGTCGGTAACAGAAATACATGTGCTGACTCATGACTCTATTCACCTCATGCCTCACCTGCTCTAGGGCGCTACCGCATCGTCTTATTTTAACTTGGTACTCCCGGTTAGCTGCTAGTGCTAACCAGGAAGAACTGACACATGCAAGTAAACCAAAAGTGGGAAAAGGGGCGGGGCTACTTAAGGTGAATAGAGCAAAGTTTTAAATGATTTCCCTCTTTTCTTACCGATTTCTCTTCTCTACTTCAGCCACCAGCTCATCGGTGGAGAACTGCCCTCTGACCACCAAGATCAGGTTCTTAATCACATCCTCAGCACAGTCCACATCCAGCAAACCCCCGATGACGACTGGCAGACGGCTCGGGTTAACCTTGAATAAATGATCATAAAATTACAAACATATTCAAAGACAAATGCACAACAAAAGTCTATTTCAGCGGCTGTCCAATGTCTGAAGCATTCCTCGAATCAGTGACTATAAAACGTATAAAAGCATTGAAGGAAGGGAAGAGAGGAAACAAGAAATACACATTTCCACTAGGCTATGAAGCCGTAATGTACCTTCTGCACGTAGATCTCGATGTATTTCTGCAGGCTGTTGCGGTACAGGTACAGAACCAGGTCGTGGACAAAGTCAAAGCGGTCGCACACGATGATCAGAGGCAGCTGGTCAGTCAGTTTGGCTTCCTGCAGAGAAACATAACAGATGAGAGGTGGCAAATACATGCTCTGTCTGGATTCATTAGTGGGAGAAAGGTTAGATGTTATAAATAGGGCTGCCCCCAAAAGTCAACTTAACATTAGCTGCAAGTAATGCAAGAAGGCTTTTTTGCCAACGCATATATTTTTGAGTGTTTCTATTTGCTGCTTATTATTTGTTTGTTGTTTTCACTTAAGTTTTACAAAATTGCTCATGTTATTTTGTTGATATTACAATTTAGTTACGCATCCACAAGTTGTGTGTGTCCTTGCTGCTTATTCTGACACACATTACGAATCATTCCCGGCGCTTCTGACGTTAACATTGTCGCATGTGTACATTTTAATTTATATTTCAAAGTCTCATTATTACAGTTTTATATTCCAACGTCCTCAGAATCATTACCAGCGCTTCTGACGTTAGCATTGTCGATAACGGGCGTTTTTTGTCCGTCTGTGCCGTGCGCTGTAACTCAGATGTGCTTTGCATGTGTACAATCTCATTTATACTTCAAAGGCTCATTATTACGGTTTTATATTCCAACGTCCCATGATGTTACTCATAACTTTCTTTCTCAGCCATGGAAATAAAAACATTCTGCACTGGTTCGATTCTGACCTTGAGGAAGTTCTTCACGCGTTCGGGGTCGTAGCAGTTGCTCTCTCGGCAGATTCTCTCCACCTCTTTGATCTGGCCCGTCTTGCAGGCGGCCTGGATGTATTTGAAGTGGACCTCTGGATCCTGGCTGAAGTTCACAATGGACCCCAAGAAGTAAAACAAACCTGAAAGACAAAAAAAGGAATACAAACTGAGTGCAACCATCTTTTAAAACATAGTGTTTTCTCTAAATGGACATGGTATATTGCTTGTTTACCTTCAAAGCTCTTGAACGACTCAAACAGCTCAGTGAGGGACTGGGTGGAGAGCTGCTCGTGGTACTTGGAGGCGACCTGGACACAGATCTGCAGGTTCTGGCGGATGTTTGCAGACAGCATGGCCCTCAAACACTCCAGAGAGTCCTCCACTGACAGGGAGCCAAAGAAATTCACCAACCACTGCAGAGACAAAGAGGAAACATTGAGGAATACAGGGAACAAAATCACAGTCCCATTTGAGTATTTTCCCTTGGTCTGCGTTGTACCTCTGGGTTGAGAAGGTGTGTGTGCACCACAGCGCGCTTAATGTCATACAGGTCGGTGTAATGCTCCAGCGCCCTCTGCAGGAGACCGGCCTTCTCACACAGCTGAGCCACATGAGCGCGGTCGTAGTGGGTGAACATCTGATTGCCCAGGATGGCGTCTGCAACCTGCAAGACCGGACACAGGGACAAAAACATTTCAACACTGTCTGAAGGTATGCCTGAGACAGCACACTTTGCAAAAAGGAAATGCAACGAGAATAGATCTGGATAAATGGCAGTCATCAATTTGTAACTCAGCAATATGGTAATGTGGGCATGTATGATCAGCTGAACTAAATTCAGTTAGTTTCTGTACCTGTGGAGCGTGCACCAGATTCATTTCCAGCAGGCGTGTCTGCAGGGGTCCCTCCATGGGTCTGTTGTTCTTCAGGGCATCGAGTAGGAAGGATGTGCACTGCTGGATCAGGTTGTACTCCATGAACACATCAACGATCTGGAACAGAGAGAAATAAACAATAATCATTAATGTCTCAAAAAGACTACATATTTTCAGCCCTATTCTGCTTTATTCATGTAGTGTGTTATATAGGTTTTTGTGCATGTAAATCAGTGTTAATTTTGGCAGCTGTTTTTGATTTAGTCTAATGGCACATTTCCACTACACGGTCGGCCTCGGCCACGCTCGGTACGGCTCGGTACGGCTTGGCCTTAACAGGGCCGACTCACTTCATGCTGCGCTTCCATTACAGTTTAGGAACTGGGGTAGTTACTATAGTAACGCAGTGTAGGCGGAGCCGTGACGTCATCTTCAATGAGAACTCCAGAAACACAACACAGCCGTTAGCTGTTAGCACTCAGAGCTCACAGCTCCTTATATATGTTCAGAAACTAGACAAAAGTTAAACAAGTACAAACCACAGACTGCCTGTGTCATGGTGAATACAGTCGCTGCTTTATTTATGTCTGTATAGGCCGTTGTTGTGAGTGTGGACGGTCGGAGCATATACTGCGTTAGCTTAGCCAATCTCCATCTAGAAAAATACGCATTTTAAAAGGTTTTTCGCCTGCCGTCTGTCTGCAGACTTGACAAAGCATTAATTCATGGTTTTTACTAACCGGTATCAGTATGTTGTTACTTCGGCATCATTTTGAAACGTGTATTACAATTAAATCACGGTCAAATATGTCCATCTTGTTGTAGTTGTAGCCCCCTTGCCAGCGCTCCTCTCTCTAGTGTAGCATACTCAGCCCGACTCAGCCCTGTTTGTTGGCCTCGATAGAACCACAATTTTCTTGGGCCAGAAAAGACGTGAAAAAGTGGCCCCGGGCCGGGCCGGGCCGGAACTAGGCCTAGTGGAAGCACAACCAAAAACGGGCACAGCACGACACGGCACGCTTAAAGCGAGCTCTGCGCTGTAGTGGAACTGCGCCATTAGTCTTAGTCTTTAGACGAAAATGGTTATTAGTTTTAGTCACATTTTAGTCATTTCTATCCTTCATAGTTTTAGTCTAGTTTTAGTCGATGAAAAATTACATTTTAGTCAACTTTTAGTCAAAATGTTTTCTCTCTTTAAACCAATTCAGTTAGGCAAATACAGGTTTCTGACATTGGAATCAAGGTGACAGCATCAAGTGTTGAAATTCGTAAAGCAACATTTCACTCTCTTAACACTTTACTTGTGTAATATCTAGGGATGGGTATCGTTAAGGTTTTCTACGGAACTACTAGTCTTATCAATACTGCTTATCGATCCGGTACTTTAACGGCATTCTTGTATTTACTTTTTGTTATTTTTTTAAAGGAAAAAACTAACAAATTGTTAACCGAATTAATTGCTTTATTTAAATGTGAAATAAATGAAATAAATGAAATATATATAATTATTTTTAAATATTGTACTGTACTTGAGTAAAATGTTGAGGTACTTGTACTTTACTGGAGTATTTAAATGTTATGCTACTGTGTACTTCTACTCCACTACATGTATTTAATACCTTTAGTTACTTTACAGATGTGGATGAATGATGTGAAATATAATCAAGTGTTAAATCAGACTTTAGTTCCACCTGGAGTAAATTCACAAGCTACCCTGCAGTATACAAAGTCATTCAAACTAGCTGCACCTTTACCAGCTTTGAGAACACTTTCATGATCAATCATTATAAAACATATCATATATATTATTCTGAAATGGACCAATCTGCACAATGACTACTTTTACTGTCGCTACTTTAAATATATTTTGATGATCATACTTTGACTTGAGGAACTCGTTCTACACTATGGTATTTTTTTACTTAGCTACAAGATCTGAGTAGGCTACTTCTCCCACCTCTGCACAGCTGATGTGATAACGTTACTCGTAATTGGGGCAACAGAGCTACGAGTTAAGGAAGTCGAAAATTGTGCATTTCTCCGACTGAATATGACGCCTTTTGGCCGGCTGTTTGGACAGACTACTCTACTCGTGTCAACGCGAAAACATGGCAAACGAGCTTTGTCCACATCGAGACTTGTAGTGTCTCTATACTTCTGAACGCTCCGTCCCCGGCAGATCTCTGTGTGCCGCTGCAGCGTGTCTGTTAGGCCCCGCCCCCCGCACACAGAGAGGAGATCGCTCTTCTGGAGTGAAGAGAGCGGAAATAATGATATTGCAAGTTAGAAATGTAAGATGCATTTTGACAGACAAGACGGGCAATTGGGGGGAAATACCCTGCATTTTGAATGTCCGATAGTCCACCATTAACACCTTAGTCCCGTCTCGTCTCGTCAACGAAAACTAAATATACATTTCGTCAAATTTTCGTTATCAAGAATCTATTTTTAGCTCGTCATCGTCTCGTCTTAGTCATGTAAAAAAGGTCGTTGACGAACATTTTTCGTCATAGTTTTCGTTGACGAAATTAACACCGATGTAAATGCATGTAAAATCTCCAGTTTCTCTCCCACATATTCCCATGTTTGCCAATATGATGAGATGTAGGTGCTTGTGTTATGAATTCATGGTGAAAACGCAGGGACGCGGGAAGTCAGTCAGAGGGTGCGGGGGGCGGGGGGATTTCACACACGAAATGCAGCAGGTTTTTTTCTAATCAGAAGACGATTTATTGTTGATTGAGACGCAGCCGGGTAGCAATAACAACGCACTTGAACTTTATAGCGCGCACTGCGAACCGGATTGTATAACAATAACAGATGCAGAGTTAACAGAGATTAAACAGATTAAAACGCAATAGGCCTACATGAATAATCATAGGTTTCTAACAGTGACCATTTACACATTTTACACAATTGCACATTTTTGTGAATTCGGCTGTGCGATATTCTAGAAAAGCGCTAAATGAACGTATTTATTTATTTTATTTAAGTGAACACAGAGCAAAAACCCGAAAATATTAATAACGAGTAACTCTGAACTTCTCTCTCACTCTCTCTGACTCTCTCTTCGCGCGCACACAGCATAGGCTACAGAACACCGAAGGTGGTCTTGCGCTCAGGGGTGGTGGAAATAAGTCACAGTCTGTGCAGTCATTTGTTCCTTAGCAACAGCTTGTGAGAGCAGCGCATTAATTGGTGTTCGTTTTAATGTTTGTTGACGGCCTCCGTTGATGGGACTTCTCAAGCTCCCTAAATCTTTCCCCTGCCTTTCGCCAGTTGTTAAACCCTCCTTTAACAAAACTCCCATCCCTGTTCTTGTCTGCACTGACGAGCTTATTCTCTATTGCAGGGCAACAGAAGAAGCACACCGCATTATCATTTTCTTTTATATAGTGAAGCCATGTCCACTGTTTAAACCAGCCTGAATTGAAGGATCGGGTGAATGTTTCCTTTCCAAACCGCCTGGCAGGGAATGTAAAGTCCTTGGGCTGGCAAGGCACTTCACCGAGGGCAACTGAGTTGTTGTTAGCTGCTGGACGGGGGCAACGTCGTTAACAAGAGCTGCGGCCGCGGGTGTTCTCTCCTCCGGGTTGCTGGAGTGACAGTTGTCTGTGTCCACCTGCAGGGACTCCGAGTCGATAGGGTTTTTTGGTTGTTTGGCTTTGGGGCCATTAAAGAAATCTAATATACGTTTATGAGACATAGTAGTAGCAATACTAGTAGCAGACTATTACTTGTCAATTCAACCGTTTTTATTGATTTGTTTAGTGAACCTTTTGGCGTTGCAGTTACAACTCTCCGCCAACAGATGGGGGTGCTGCAGCCCCCTCAGCACCCCTCCCTTCCCACGTCCCTGTGAAAACGTGTTTTTTTTTTTACCTGTGTAATGTCAGCAAGCGGCTCCTCGTCCTGGACCAGCATCTGGGAGAACTGCAGGCCCTGCTCCGGACTGATGCGCATGACGTTCCTCAGCAAGAAGATCCAGTCTGGAGTGTAGCCAACCTACAGGAACAACAACAGCTTTAAACTACATATCCATACCACTGAGGTTCGCCATTTTACGGAGACATTTGAACCTGCTCTATCAAAATCAGTCAGACGTCCCAACGGCTAGATAATCATGAATTTCTGTCATTTATGTTTTGGTTATTTTGTGGTTTTGGTTGATTTTAAACTAATTCTTGGCTTTAAAAATATTCAAATATTGTTGGCACATCCAGAAGATACATTCGGCGTTGAAGCATGTAAAGGAATATTTGCAGGACAAACACATAAGGATATTATTGGAAAGCTAAGAATATACTGTTTCCAACGGTGTGTGTAACTCTAGATGTGTTTCGATGTGGCTGATTTTGATAGAGCAGGTCACAAAGGTAAAGACAACAGCAAATCACGACGCAGCAAAAGAGTTTCGTCTCCACAGCAGCCTAGTCGGATATTAAATATAAAATAAAGTCAGGCAGCGTCACAAACCTTCTTGGCGTAGAGGACAATCTTCTGGAACTGTCCGGTCTCTGCAAAGCACTGGATGACCTTGTTGGGGACGTTGGCCCTGAGGTAGACGCTGAGGGCCAGAGTGGGATCTACAGACTTCACCAAGTCTCCGAGCTCCTCAGAGCACTCCAGCTACACACACACACAAACACACGTGTTTCTTCCCAACAAAAAATGTATCTCTTGCTTTGGGACACATTGTTTAGGGTTAGGGTTACACCAGATTCAGAGACAGTTTCATATCACAGGCAATAAGACTGCTAAACAACTGAACTGCTGAAACAACATCTGTTAAACACCTGAACTTTTGAATGAACATCCATAACATTCATCTGTTTGCAACTTATTTATCTAATATATCATATTCCAATTACTTGTATATAGACTCTTATTGCACTATTTCTATTCTATTTGTAGTTACTTGCACTATTTTATCTGTTTTATTGTGTTGCTCTGTTGGAGGAGCCTGTGACCTAAGATTTTCATTGTCATATCTACACTGTAGCGATGCACACATGACAATAAAAGCCTTGAATCTATAGAATTTCCAAAAAGCAGGTGTGTTTCAATACATTGAGAAATCAAACACTGGACACACACCTTGTCCTCTTTCAGCCACTTCTCCAGGAGCTGCTTGCGGCCCTGCTGCAGGACAGGCCTGCACAGCTCCAGAGACTCAAACTTGTTCAGTTGGCCTTGGTCCAGCAAGATGCCAAAGTACTGGAGCAGCGGAGACGTCTGGCCCGGCTGGGCGGGAACACTCTGGAAACGACGGATGGTGTCTGGGGTCCGCAGGATACCCTGGGGAGAAAACAGGAATGGAGGTAATTTAGTAACAGTAGCATTAGGTTTGGGAAGTAACTGATTACATGTAACAGGATTACGTTATCAGGATCCAAAGGTAACTGTATTCCCCTATAGTTACATTCAAAAAGACGTAATCAGATTGCTGTTACATATCTAAATGTTCATAAAATAGTGTGTGTGAGCTTAACTGTGTGTATGAAACTAAAAAGGAGCATTTTCTCAGGTCAGATTTTATTTCTGCTTTTCAAACTGTAGTATGTGCTTATGTGTTTCATTGTGGGTGTATAGGCTACTGCCTGAATATGCTGAATGAAAGGCAGCTTTTCCTGTCAATTAAAACATTTTTGATCCTAAATATCTTGGTTTCTGCTTTTCTAAGGTCACATTGTTCTGTTGTCTTACATAATACACTTCAGTAAAAAAACATCTTATTGATATTTATTTTCTCTTGGATTTCTTGCACTTGACATTAACGGGTAACTAGTAATATGGTACCCCTCACAACCCTGACGGTGGCAGTACCTTGGGTGCGTTGGCCGCCACCTTGGCAGCTTCGGAGTAATTCCCCGCTGCAAACAGAGTGTTGAATTTGCGGGCGAACAGCTCCTCAGCACCGGCGAGGTTGTTGCGGACGGCCATGCGCAGCGCCAGGTCCGGGTTCTGGAGCACGTTGGTGATGTAAGGGATGATGTTTTCCTCCTCCACGCACACAGACAACACCTAGAGAAACACATTATGCACTCTTTATTATCTGTACACAACAGAAGATAACTGGTGTTATATTTGATCAGGATTTATCTTTTAACGCCCACATAAAATCAATCTCAAGGACCGCCTTCTTTAGACACGTTAGTTTAGCTGCTATAGGCTTAGACTGTCGGGGGACACCTTGCTTCTTCCTTCTGTCTGTCTGTACCTGTGTACTCTCATGTTCCGAATAACCCAGCTTCCCCCAAATTTCTTTTTGGTGTCTATCTACACCGGAATCCTGAGTCGTGGCTGATCCTGTTGCTGTGGTCCTGTGTCCTGGATCCTGAGTCCTGTGTCCTGGATCCTCTATCCTGAGTTCTGGATTTGAGTCCTGGACTTCGAGTCGTGGCTGAACCTGTCACTGTGGTCCTGTCTGACTCATCATACTACTTCCCTGATGGCTCCCACAGGATTGTTGACATCCTCGTGGATTCATCTTCTTATTATAGACACATGCATTTCCAAACATTTGGTCTACCTATGCTGTAAAATGTATTATCTCTTCAATTTACACACGGCATCTTTTGCACGTCTGTCCGTCCTGGGAGAGGGATCCCTCCTCTGTTGCTCTCCCATGTTCCCCTTTAAACTGTGGGGTTTTTCCTTCTTTGGAAGTTTTTCCTTGTACGATGTGAGGGTCTAAGGACAGAGGGTGTCGTATTGTCATACTGATATTCTGTACAAACTGTGAAGTCCACTGAGACAAATGTAACATTTGTGATATTGGGCTATATAAATGAACATTGATTGATTGATAACTCATTTGACACCTGCCTGGTATAAACAGTGCACTCTATTGACGCTCAAATCTCTGGACGCAAAAATAGATTTAAGTGAATTAGATCCTAAGACCTGTACTTGTCACCTTCCTAAATTACAGGGAGGGATTGCCTGGTGTAGTGTTACGTGTTACGTGTGTGTGTGTGTGTGTGTGTGTGTGTGTGTGTGTGTGTGTGTGTGTGTATGTGTGTGTGTGTGTGTGTGTGTGTGTGTGTTACAGAGAGCTGTACAGGCTAGAGCTGCAGATAAGAGCACAGAGCAGTAACAGGATTAGATTGTGTCTGCTTGGCAAGGCTTAGCCATCCTGCTGTGACTGTCACGAGATGCCCGACAGCGAATATGCCGCTGCACTCGGTTATTTTCAGAGAATTCTCTGTCAAGGTCACACGACAACACCCAAGGACACATGCTGAGAGACAGAGGGCTCAGGGAAAATAAATAACCAACAAATATCAGAAATAACGTCAAAGAGCTCCTATTCTGCTTTTTAGGTTTTTTTCCTTTCCTGTATTGTGTTCTAAAGGTTTGTGTGCATGTAAATGGTCTGCAAAGGCTAAAATCCCTGCGTTTCCTCCAGATGGAGTTTTCTCGCCCACCCCCCCCCCCCCCCCACCCCCTTTCCTGAAACGCCTCCATTCGACTCCTTTGTTTACTTCTGTAACATAGTGACATCACTATGTAACACTCGCGCGTCTATTTGCTAGCGCTCCAACATATTGTACGTGATAGGCTAAGGGGCAGGACATCTCTAAGAGGTTGACCAATCACAACAGTGTCGGCCAGCTAACCAATCAGAGCAGTAGGGGCACAAATGATGGCCTTATTATGCTCATAATAGCAATATTAGATGCTTATCTGTGCTTTATTGTGTGCTGGAATCGTGCTTCGATACTGCTCATGTGTTTGTGCGGATGTGTTCTTGGATGTTTTTCTTGACATGTCATCAACCTGCCAGGGACTGCAGATAAAGATCACCCTCCATAGCTACATCTGCCACTTTTACATGATGGACTACATGATGAGTGCTCATGTTGAATCATGTGCATTGTCCCTTCTTAAATAATTATACATTTGAATTATTTGACTTAATCCTACAAACATTTGTTAACCGATACCTGATGCCATTTCATCCAATCAATCCAAATAAGAAGCAGCCTGCAGGAAGAAATTGCTTTTGATAGTTAGTTTAACATCTATGTCAGCGTACCTGTCCTTTCCTGTTGACTCCGATGATGCCGGCAGTTGGCTCATGGGGGGCAGTGACGAAAATGGTCTCCCCGCTGATCCGGTTCATGTAGATACACGTTCCAGTCTCCAGGTCATACAGGTGGATGTAGCCGTATTTGGTGATGAGGAAGACGACGTCTTGCTTGGAGCTGATCTACATGTGCAGAAAGAGAAATCTGGTTAGGAAGTGTAAAGGAGAAATTAAACCAAGGCTAAGTAATGCCAGGTCAGAGAGCGAGGTCACACCCTGAGGGGAGTTTTGTACTGGCCTTTTGGAAAATCTTTTTTGTTTGAAGAAATAACGATAATAAACGGAGAGTTTTGACCCATGTGGCAAATAGTAGTTTGAAAAAAGCTAACAGGCTCTACGTGTCTTCTTGTAAGTGGTTTTGTTACCTGCATGGCCACAGGGAAGTCGTTCTGTGCTTCTGGAGGAAAGAACACATCGACAGCTTTCTTTGGAAACGGCTGGTTCCCAGTGGGCGGGGTCCCTACTTCAATGATATGCAGCTACAAGTAAAAAGAGATGGAGGCAAAAGGAGAAGCAGTCAGGATACAAGAGCCTCTGAAAAGTTCCTTATACACATTTAAAATGAGCGTTATCCTGAGCTCTTTATCTCCGCAGGTGCCAGCGTTTAGTCTCTGCAGTGCTGTCATTACCTTTCCTCCGGCCTGTCCTCGCACAGCGAAGCAGAACAGGGTGGATTCTTCAGTGTTGCCCTCCATTTTAAACTGTGCAAAGCCGGCGGCATGCCCCTCGATGGGCTGAGACACCTTCCTGTCCACAGAGTACAGCTGCATGGCTCCAACCACACGGTTTTGCTAGGAAAAGAAAAAATCCACATTAAGGCGTCTGATTTATTGTTGCATTAAGATAATTTTCAGTTGTATTGATTCTTTAACACCTCTGCTTGCAGCACAAATATTGGTTCTGAATTATAAAGGCATTTTTTTCCTGGTAAAAAACATTCAAATTAAGGATGCACGGTTATCAAGTTTCTAAGCCGGTATTAATGCCGATGTTTATTTTATTTGAATTCTTTCCCTTTTTATGAGCCAGGAAAACAAATATCCGTTTTCATTATCCATTATTACGATAAATTTTTTATGGTAATGAGATATATTTTATACCATTTAAAAAGGTAGGGTAGGTAAGAATGGAGAAACCAGCTTGAGTGCGCTAGAATTTGAAAGTACGCAGCCGAAAAAGATCTGCTCCTTCCTTCAGACTTCCTTACAGAGCCCCTCCTCCAACACACACGAACGCGCACATGACCAATGAGGGCACGAGATAAGTTTGTGCACGAGATGGAAGGCTGACAGGCAGGTAGGCCATCCAGTTATTTTAGCCGGGCCGGCTCAGATGATTGGTCGTGCTTTTTACAGTACCACGGCTTCCACAGATGACATTTTTTTATGGATTTATTGTCAAAGCATTTAATATATTCATTGCTATCGGGATGTTAAGAGCATTCCATGGAATATAACAAAAAGTGTTTCTGAAGTGAATTACCTACCCCACCTTTAATGGATATTCATACAATTAAATGGTTTAATAATAATATAAATCACAAGCTTTTAGTTCATGCATGTACAGATAATGCAGATTAAGGAAGAACAGAGATTGCCCGCTCACTTTTCAAGCTAACAAACAGAGCAGTTGAGAGGTTTTTATCCTACAGTGACAGCGGAGGATACTAAAAACACCAAGTTCAGCGTGAATAAAGACGTATATATGAACAATGCAGTTTTACTAAATTAAGTTTTAATTATAAATATTAATAAACTGTTGCACTGCTATTCTGCTGCAATAAATGTTTGCTGAGGATGAGTATTAAAGGTCCCATGTCATGCTTTTCTGGTTATTACCCGTCCCCTTGTGTGTTATGTAGCTTTTTCTGCATGTAAATGGTCTGCAGTCACAAACCCTCAAAGTACACCCTGTAGCGAGTAAAACTCTATCACAGAAAAGACCTGTCTATGCTGCCCCAGAACGCTTCGTTGGAGATTTCTCTTTTTCCATTGTTTACTTCTTGGGTATAGTGACGTATTTCAGGTATAGTGGTATAGTGACGTTACATAACGGCTCCGCAGATTGGTCCAAATGGACCAATCCGCGGAGCCGCTACTTTACGTCCGCGGAGCCGTTACGTTTGGACCAATCCGCGGACTTCCTCACACACACACACACACACACTCGGCGGGACGTTGCGAGGCTCGCTGCTGCGAGGAGCGGGACACTGTGAGCTGGCTCACTTGTGTGGGGTCGGCGAGACAGCGAGACACCGCAGAACTCAGCCTGGGCACACACACAAACTCCCAGCCAGGCTGCGGGTGTGTGTGTGTGACCAGGCTGAGTTCCGCGGTGTCTCGCTGTCTCGCAGACGGCCACTGGGCTCATAGGGAGGGGGGGGCAGGAGCTCCAACAAGCCGTTTAGGACAGAGAGTGAATACACATACTATACAGAGATGCTGTATGCGAAACCAATGTGAGTTTGGAAAATTGCACAATATAGATTTATTTTAGTATACCTCAACAATGGAATTATGATCAGTAGAAATGGCCATGACATGGGACCTTTAAGTACGTCGATTAACGATATTCAGTCAGAGTGATCACCTGTGCTGAGATGCCGATGAGCAGCAGCCACTTCTGCTTGGCGTCTGTCCGATAGTTGATGATCTGACATCCTGCCAGGCTGGAGTGACGGTCGAACACTTTGATTGGCTGAGAGTCGCCCTCCATGCTCCAATGGTAGACCGCGTTGTCTGTGACCAGGGCGACGGTGTTGAGGGAGATCCACTTCCAGAAGGTCACGTCGTCTGTCATGGTGTGAGCCTTCATCTTGCTCTTCATCTCGATGTTGAAGATCTGCAGGGTCTTTGCCGCTGTGGATATCAGGAGATAAGGTTAACGCAGTGACCCCCACCATAAAAAAAAATGATGATAAAAATAAAATAGAAGCACCACGATCATTAAGTGACTACCACAGAAAAACACACATTACAGCAGACTCTTGGAGTACACACAGGATTCGGGCATACCAACGTCCAATCACTGGATCCATGTGTTAGTCAGGGTTTAGTGACACCGAAGGACCAAACAAGAAGCCAGAACCAGAGTGAAAACAAGAGGCAAGAGCACCAAAAGGGCAGCCACTGTGGGATCTGCATTCAGTTAGGTCTGATGCATTTTACTATGAAAGAACAATAACAAATCTGCATTAAAGAAAATGCAGTTTCCCCTCATATATTTCAATGAGGCCACTGTATTTGCAAAGCAAGCGAGATTTGTGAGCTGCAATGTGAACGGGCCTCTCTACTCTTGACCTGGTAGTCAATGTAATGGACATAAAGAAATGAATGTCAAATTTGGGGTGGGTCTGAATTAGGGCTGAACGATTTTGAATCGAAATCGCGATTTGAAATGATGCGATTATCAAATCGGGCTCAGCTGTGCTCCACATGTACCAGCCATTGTTAACCAATCAGAAGTGGCCCATGATAGAAGGTGATTGACAGATTGATCCAATCACCTGCCAAGTATTTTTGAAAGTGCCTGCCCTTTTCCAAATGGCTTCCAATGGAGCTTTCCTAGATGGTTTGGTGAAACAAACCATCTGAGTCAGGTTAGTAATGCTCCATCACATGTGTTACATCTATTACAGGGTGAATCTTAAACTGAAGCTTGACTTTAAAGCAACCCAACGGAAGTTTCATGTAAGTTTAGTTATTTCACTCGTAGCTCGGGCTGCGGGGGTGCTAGAGACAGGAGCACGTTGATACGACCTTCCTAGCCGGAGATATGGCCGCATTTTACAATAAACTTCCGTTGGGTCGCTTAAAAACAAATATCGCAAATCGAATCGCAATATCTGTCAGAAAAATCGCAATTAGATTATTTCCCCAAATCGTGCAGCCCTAATCTGAATGCAGATTGGCAAAAGACGACCACAAAGCACACAAACAGATGGGATGGGGAAGGACGCATCACACCCATACTACTTGGTAACACTCGAAGAAACACACACCAACTCTTTGTGCCCAAGACATATATTTTAGATGGAATCTAACTAAAACCCATAAGGGCAGTACAGCACATGAGTGACAATGCATACAGTGATATTTTTAAACAAATGCTTTGGTCAAACTGTGTGTGGCTACAGGAAATACAGACAAAAAGTGAAGTGACGATTATTCTCGAGCACAAACACTGTAACTGCACTTATAAATAGAGGTTATTCAACACACACTGAAGAGGTTTTATAAGCCACTGGAGATTACTCCTTTGACATAATGTGAAGAGGAAGGAGGTGAAGATCTTCCAACAGGCCAAAAATGGGGAAAATGACCCCGAAACACACAGAACACATTTGGATTCATCTCTGCAGATTCTCTTTACATGTGGTTGTTATGAGTAACTGTGCATCTCCCTGTCATCTCTGATCGTACCACAAGGGGCACCAAAGCAAGACATGTTCTAATACTCCATACAGTAGATTAACTTCATGTAAAATCTGAATTATATCACAACAAGAGCCAAATTCGGATAAGCATCAATTTGAAGGAGGTAGAGAACCAAACCAACGATGTGCCGGTCAATTTACAAATCTGCAGGACTGTCTGCTAACCAACATAAAACTACTAAGAGTATATTTCATTCTAACAACTCAGGCCAATGGCACTACATTTTAATAATAACAACTAGTGTTTCATTTTTGCTCCACACATAAGGCACATTAAATATCTTTATAGAAACACATCCAAAAGACAGCCAATCCAGTACCTACAGTTAATCAATACATGTCACTGCTTGCTTGATTTTCCCATTGTTTAAATTATCATTTTAAACCATTTTACTGCATACTGTACATTACTACCAACCATTTTCCAGGGCACATAATATTTAAAATGTTTTAATCTAAGAGGTATTTTTGCTTGGTTGAGGGTTTGTCGTCTTTCGATGTTAAATTAAAGATTATTTAAAGACAATTTTCTGGCAGATGATGTAACGGAAGTGCTTTCGTATTGTGACAGGCAGTTTTAAAGTGACGTAGGAACTGTACTATTGAATGCTGACATCCTTTTTCAAATGTATTTATAAAAAGGGCAGCCATTATTTGTTCGGTACAGGCTTTTCTGTTGCCTACGTTTGCCTTCATCTTTTACCTCAAAATAAGTGTTTTCATTCAACTATGTTTTAGAAAATGGTCAGCTGTAATATAAAATATATGTACAGCAAATGGGACAAACACACACACACACAACAAAGAAGTCCTTTAAGCTGCCCTCTTGATTTTGCTATGCTTGCTTTGCACTGTTATTGTAAATCCAAGCATTCATTACAAAATTACCAACTATGCAAAACATCTCAAGAAGACAGTGCAAACAGGAGTACACTTTGACAACTCATGATATGTAAAATTCAACTTACCGTCTGCAAACATAAGAAAGCAGTAGGAAATGAAAAAAGAGCAAAAAACAAGCAAAATAGACAAAGCATTCATGACAGCATGACAGTTTACTCTCTAGTGCTACGGCTACCTTTCCTCAAATATTATTACATTTTAAATTCTTACACTGCATTTCAGTTACCTGACAGACAGTTATGAGGTGGTCTACATATGAACATCAAAATGAAAAGCAGACTGTGACAGCTACGTAACTGACTGACAACACAAACCAAATTTACACAAATGACCCGATGTATTAAAAAAGCACCGTGTGAACGGCCAAAGAAATTACTTCTGAGTTTCCACAAACTTTCCTCTCTAGGTGTCACGTTAAGCTAACAGCGCTAACACGTGCTTTGTAGCATTAGCTTACCTTTAAGGGCAATAACTTTGCTGGCAGGGTTCATGATGGCGCTGTCTGCGGAGATGGGCCGGCGGATGGGGTTGTTGGGGTCGGCCATGTCGATGATGACCACCTGGGCCTGCTCACCCACCTTCTCTCTGATGCAGATGAACTTATCAGACTCCATGGTCAGAGTGCTGAACCCAATGTTGGCCGGGTTGATTCCCAGGTTCTGGAGCTGAGATATGAACACACGACTTGTTTAAAGAAGCAGTCCATGGAAAACACAGTCCTACGCAACAAAATCGTGACAATACTTATTAAAAGGTGTGGTCTTTTAGGTAAATATATTACATATCTTAAAAGGCATCATCCATAGAATGATTTGAAAGCACTTTTTTTTTACAGAAATACATCATACAAATAGATTGGTGCAGTGATGGCGTGCTTTTGAAGGCCGACCTGAAAGATAATATTGCAAGAGTTCCCTCGAAAAAAAGCCAATGGAGAAAATAATCAAACGTTTATGATACTATTAATTAATTTTTGAGGTACAAAGCTAACATTGGGCTTTAAAATAAACGATACATCCTTTGTTTCTGTATTAAAGTGTCTTTGGGTTGCTTAAAATATAATTAATTATTATTATTATAACTCTGGTTTGTTTAAGTTATTCCAACTCTGCAATGGATGTCCACATTGGGGCTCTGGTTTAATAACCATTATGAACTGCAGGTATAGATGTGCAATGCCCTCCTTAAAAACCCTTCTTGTGGTCCCCGTAACAGTTGCAATACATTGATGTGTGTTTCTATTATTTTGTCCATCCCATCTCTATCATTAAGGCTTGGATAAATAACAGAAAAAAACTCTCTCTGTATAAAAATACAAATGTAATAAACTGGAGAATATCGACTTATAGTTAGAGGTCATCCAAGGTGCTGCTTCCTGAATGGTTCATTTCTTACATTTTAGGGAGAACAATAATCACAAATACATCAAGCAGCTGAGATCTTTGATTAAACAGACTATTCCCCATGCCTTGGGACAATTACGGATAACGCTAATTGTGAAGCCGTGTGCAAACGGGGGAACCGGTTTTCGTTTTGATTGAGGAAACTATGAAGATCTTATTTTATTTGTTGAATCTATTTGTATCTTTATCTCCCACAAGGAGCGATTCTCTGAATGAAATTGTTAAATGGTCTAGCAGGCTGCTGGTTGAGTCACAGCTTAACCCAGGGTCCCTCCCTGAACACCACACAGTAATGACCGGCTCTATTTAGATGACTGTTCCCACCCTGTGCACACTGAATTCACTGCTTAGCCCTTCTGATGGAGGTTTAGATTCAGAAAAACTCCCAAATAGTACGTTTTCACTTACACGGAATTTACTTTGGGGTTTGGCACATATAATAAACACATTGTAGAGGATATTTAAATACAGGGAAAGTACACAGTAAAGAACATAAATATTAAGAATACAAATATCCTTTAGAAATATAACAACCATATAACAGTCCCCCAACAAAGAACATATTATTCCAGCAGCCATCACTCGTTGCTGAACATTGCAGATGCTATAAATGAATTTATTTCATGTATTAGAGTTCATGTTTGTTTATTGTCTGCATAAGTTATTTGTTAAATATGTGACGAGATTGATGCCACGTCTACTTCAAACACATCTACCAACTGTTACGAATGCAGTTAGATGCACCTGATCCGGATACAGGTGTTATATGAAATTAGGGGGAGGCTGTAGCTCAGTGGACACAGTGTGCTGGACTTCGAATCAGGGGATAGCAAGTTCGAGTCCCACTGCAGTCAGCATGTCGTTGTGTCCATGGGCAAGACACTTCAACCCAAATTGCTCCTGTGGGGATTGTCCACAGTACTGAATGTATGCAAGTCCCTTTGGATAAAAGCGTCTAACAAATGTAATGTAATCTAATATAATATAAAACATATGCATCAGAGGCGACATGATGTCTTAACTTAACGTCCGACAGCTGGGAAATAAGATAATATATGTTCCAGGTAAAATCCACTACAGGACCCAGTTCAAACGGCCTGTCGTGACACCACATTACTGAATAATGGCATACGCTTAGTTTGCAGCCGACCACAGTTTCACAGCTACTAGTTAGCTTAATATCACATTAGAGATCCCATGTGATATAATGACTTTATAGCGACATGATAATAAAGGTTGAAGAGGTTTCAATCACACATTTACATAAATGTTTCATACTGTGAAAAAGACCCTAGAGAGATTTAAAATTGATATTGACTTTGGGAAAAACGATACAACTTCAGCAGGAGGACACTTTTATAAACTTTAAGGGTGATGGATTTGATACAAATATTGTAACTAATTTTTGACATTCACAAGAAGAAATAGACTGTCTCTAAATCAAATTTTGCAGATTTTTTACTAAGAATTACAAGAATATGGAACCACTATTAAAAAGATAAGAACCACATGTGTATTTGATACATATTTTTACTTGAAATGTGCCCTTTTGTATTTAATCACAATTGTATTTATATGTTCCTATTTTATTTTTTAAGATAGGATAAAAGATAAGTTGTAAAGACTGATACTTTATTGATCACAATTTGGGAAAAGAAAATCACCACAGCAGCATAGATAATACATTGCATAAATTACAGGTAAATAACATAAAATCAACAATAAAGCTAAATATATCCGCAGTAGAAGATAAACAATATACGCCAAACAGTGTATTGTGTACAATATATACATGACAATAATGAAAGATATGCATGTATAGGGTGTATATATATATATATATATATATATATATATATTGAATACACAATATAAATATACACAATATAATGTATCTCTGTACATGTACCCCTGATGTCAATCTGTTATGTGTATATAATGTTTGATGTACATATTTTATATATAAGAAAAGAATAAGAGAGAAAGAGGGAAAATATGACAGCTACATCAGAGCAGATTAGCATTTAGCAGACTGAATACATCTCTAGTGACGTGAATGCAACATCACGACCCATCTACTGTAACGATAGCTAATATACCTAATGTTTGCTAACCTAAATGTAGCCATGTAGATATCAATACCACAAGAACTACACACTGAAGGTCATGGAAGCGTGTTTAATGTAAGTATTATCCCCCTGTCCGTCGATGACAGCTAACCTCGGCTAGCGTAGCAACAGCATCAGTGCAATGAATGAGAGATGCTAGCCGTTAGCTGCTGACTAAACGGGGGAGGGGAGGTCATTCATTTGCTGCGGGTTTTGAACTGAAGATAACTGAATACACCGTTCATCCCTATGAGAGTCGCTCAGTGGCGCATGAAGCCCAAAATAAAACGACTGTAGATTCAGAAGGTACCCGTATGCGGGCCCACAGAGCATGCGCAGTTGAGTTTCCCTCAAGCCCCGCCTCCGATCTCCCTCCCTCTGCCCAGTCAAATGAATGGGGAGAGAAAATAACATTGCATTCAGCTTTAAGCGCATTTTACAACTTTTAGACCCAGGTCATTCAAATGAGAGCTATACAAAAGTTCGTGCTTGGTAGTTTATTTAGCTAAAATAAAATTACACGCTGATTTACAGACGACTCTTTCCCAATATAATTCAATGAGAAAAAGTATTTTTGGGCCGACGTGACGTCAGGGAAGCTGTAGTACCACCGTTTGTCCACTACGACCATTCTAAAAATGGTCTTCAACAGCCGGCGCACTTCCTTCCTGGGGGTTTGGTATTGACGTTAGCTTAGCTAGCTAGCTGTCAAACGGCAGCTAAGCGGGTACAATTAAGATATAACGATAACGTTTGTTATGTGTTCACACATTGCTATAAAGGTTTGCTAACATACCTGCAGGTGCTCCTGGAAGCGGATAGGTAGGATTTGAGCCATGGTGAGGGTTTCCTTTTAGCTTCTCCTCCTCCTGAAATCCTAGCCGTACAGCTAGCTATGCACCGCGCTAGCTTCGACCTCCTCACTGTGTAGGTCGGAGCCAGTCAGTGAAAACAAAAAGACACGATAAAAGGTAAAATACGGTGTTGGTGATCGTGTTTCCGGAATCTGCTACTGGTAAAAAATGTTAGATATGTCCCCCTTCTGTAAGTGCTTCCTGCCCTGCATCGATGGATAGCAGTGGCTGATCTTCTGTCCGAAATCCGCAATGGCGGCGGAAAGAGCCTGCTTCAGTCCGGAAGCATCCAGGGAGCTCTGGTAGGACACTGGTCCCTGAACGCCCCTGGGTTAAGGATGGAGGGGTTTCATAATTTATTATTTTTAACATAAGAATAATAAATACACTATCTGTGTTGTTTCTTATCTTTGTAAGAATGTAACAGTAGTTTATCCTCCTTAAACGAACCACATACATCGCCCATGTGCGTCAGTTCCGTTACAATATAGTACATTACATTAAAAATAAATAAATAAATGGCATCTAGTTATATTACATTACATTAAAATAAATAAATATCATCCAGGAACCTCTGGAAGGACACTGGTCCCTGAACGCCCCTGGATTAAGGATGGAGGGGTTTCATAATTTATTATTTAAAAAAATAAGAATAATAAATACAATTTCTTTGTAGTTTCTTATATTTGTATCTTAACAATTTAGTTTAGCTTCCTTAAAACACACCGCATAAATCGCCTTTGTGTGTCAATTCAGTTACAATTGAATTGAAATAAATAAATAAAAACATGACAGTGTGATGTTTTAAAGCATCAGTCCAACTAATGTTATTAGAAAAAACATTAATTTCATAAAGAAATACATGCATATGATCAAAATCAGTAAAACCACGCCATTCAATTTTAGTCACTTTGATTAGTTTTTACTACTTGTATTTATATTTACACTATTTCTATTTCTATAGTTTTGGTTTACACGTTTGTTCTTCCTAGAGCTGCAACGATAGGTCGATCATAAGTAAAATATGTAACTATTTTGATAATTAATCATTACTAAAAATAAATTATGCAAAGATTACAGAAAATGCTGTTTTTAGGAAACTTCTTACTTAATTTTGAGTTGGTAAAACAAGAAACTTAATGCAGTGGACATTTCATTGACCAAACGAGTTGACCAGATGAATCAATACTGAAAATAATCAGCCCTAATTATTGCACTTTGTTTGCACATAGCTCTGCACCTGAATTGATATATGGATGTTTGCACAATATTGTTCCTCTGCACTGCACTTTATACAGATGTTAATAAAGTCAGTTCAAATTAGTAGTCTTTTAAATCCATGACAGCATGTTGTTAAAGCTACAGGCAACCCTTCTGAGGAAATATTAGTTTGAAAAACACAAACAAGCAAACAGCCAAAGTTAGTGAAACCAGGCAATTAAACGCAAATCACTTTTTTGTCAAGTTATGGGTATTTTTGGGACAATAATACTTTAACATTTCCAATTTAAGGATGTTAAGTCAGTCAGCACATTTTTATTGTCTAGAATTAAGTCATGTGAAACACAGCTGAAATTGTTACAGAAGTTAAAATAAATTTGTTTTGAATCTAACAAAAAAAAACGTGCATATCATTTTTAATCAGTCTTTAATTTAAATGCCTCGCCTTAACAGGAGTTTTCATTTAAGTGCAAGTTTGTGCAGTACAGCCCTCAAATTCATAGAAAATGTATTATAATTCAAAGAAATCTCAAAGCAGGAAGCAAAAGATGACTCAAGACAAAGAAATGCATTTCAAGAAGCAGCTGTATTCGACTATAAAGGTATTTCTAATCCAGTGTCTCTAAGCTGTTTTCTTAATATTTCAGTGTAAAAAGCCTAGACTCTATTAGAAAAAAGAAAACCCAAAATAACATTTCATAAGAAAAACAATCATTGAAAAAAAAGGAAAGAAAAAAATCCCCATTCACCAGTCATTTCAATTAAAATAGAAACACCATTTTATTTTTGCTAACATTTTCCCTCAAAACAAATATATATTTTTCCTTATATATATATATTTATATATTTATTCTCAAGGCAGTTGGTCATGGCCAAATTAATTGACCTCATCATGGCCGTTTGTCATGTTTTTTAAAGTTAGAAAACATAGCTAGAATGGAAGAAAAAGAAACTAGCGGGAGCACAGTGAGGGAAGCACTGCACCGGCCAACATGTATCTCATGTTGAGTGAGAGGGAATAGTCTGTCAAGGCAGCGTGGCACACAGACACACTTCCTCTGGAACAAGTGCAATACATTTCTCACACATCACAAAACTACAACACACTCCTCTTTCACAGCACTCCGTAAGATTCCCTTTGCTTGTCTTCTCCTCGTCCTCTCATTTCTCGCAGCAGTGAAGGCTTGTTGTGCTGTTTTTTTAGTCCACTTTGACGGAGACACACTGCAGCAGTCAGGGAGTCTCTGATCCGTCCTCCATTGTCGTTTTTCACCCTCCAACTACCATTACAGACTAACCACAGACGTCTGATGTGAGCTATCTGCAGCAGTGTTTGAGGTTAGACAATTGTTTGCCAACTGAGAAAAAAAAGGATCCCAGCATCTTGTTATTACAGTAAAAACGTGACTAATACATCGTCCCTGAATACTGAAGACTGCTCTATCAGTAAATGGTGATAGCAGAAGGGAGAAGACACAAGTAGCAGGGTTTCTGCAGAAAAAGAGGGTTATGATGAGTGTACATGATGGCAAAATGTGGCTGTAGCTATGTGCTCTGAATGGGATGAACAGAAAATCACGAGAGGGGACAGGATGAATGAACAGGGGGAGGGGATGGGATGCATGGGACCACCGTCGCAATTTTGTTTAGAGAGGGATGATGAAAAGTGCCGGATGGCGACGTGAGGAAGTTCCCTGGGTTACATGAAGTGAATATGCACGATGCACTTGTAAGCAGGTATGCTCACATGTTTTTGTGTGAGGGAAAAGAGAAGATGTGTAGGAGGAAAGAGAGAAATCCCTGGGCTACATGGGAGGGCGCATTAGAGGAGAGGTCCCCAACTACCTCCATCCATCACACCCTCCCTCACACCTGAACCCCAGCAGGACTATGTGCTTCTCTTCTGCAACTCCTGAACGAAGGCTGGCAGAGAAGAGGAGGAAACAAGTATTTAGTACCCAAAATACTGTATTTTGAAGATAAATAAAAAAAGACTTTTTAATGCAAAGAATTCTTACCTCCGATAATTTCTTCCTTGACTTTTTGTAGTTCTTTCCGCACCTCCTCCAGGATTTCCTGCAAACAAATGGATTGTCAGTCATGGCACAGTTACTAGTGATCTGAGGCCTGTACTACAAAGCCAGTTTAACATACCCTGGATCTCTTTGTGTTATCTGGTTTTAAGGGGCCCTATTAAGATCATGTATATGTTCATATTTGTATTTTGAGCATTTACTGTGACCTGTTTACAGAACATGCTCTTTATTTTTCTCATACTGCCTGTGCTGCAGCACCTCTTTTCACCCTCTGTCTGAAACCAGAGCCCAGTCTGCTCTGATTGGTTAGCTGGCTGGCTCTGTTGTGATTGATCAACCATTAAGAGATGTCCCGCCCCTTAGCCTATCACGTATGTGTTGGAGCGCTAACCAATAGAAGCGTAAGTGTTCTGTGGTGATGACACTATGGGTGTTTCTCAATGTCGAGGAAGGATGCTCCAGAGCCACTATTTCAAGCATACTACGTCATCGAGTGCCGCCGAAGGACTGTTCCAATGTCCAGCATACTTGGAATTCTACCGAGGCCGGCATACTTTGTAGCGGGACATTTTGAGGCTGCACATGTGTAGACTCCGCGGTCTTAAAATCCCCACAATACTTTGCGCACGGACCAATTTCCAAATCTTTGGCGGAAATCGCGCTCCATTTAAGGCGGGGCATATGACTCACACCGGCACACCTGTTAGCCTGTTCCACAATTCTTCGTTTTCCGAGGCTAGGAAGGATTCTTGCCTCGCTTCTGAAGCAAGTGACTCGGAAGACATGTGCTACCAAGCAAGCGTCCTCGACATTGAGAAACACCCTATGTTCCAGAATCAAACAAAGGAGTCCAATGGAGGAGTTTCAGGCAGGGGGGGGGGGGGAGGGAGTGTGTGGGAGAGAAACTGTTGCTAGGCGGATGAGAAACTCACCTGTTTCATTTTCTCTAAATCCGAGTCTTCCATTCCTCCAGCATCGTTACCGTTGTTGCCAGCAGGCTTTGGCCTATTAGAAGACAAGAAACACAGAAAAAGACAAATATTTATTATTATATATATTAAGTTTGTGTTTCAGAAAAACAAGAAGAAGCCAAGACGGTCCATGGCACTGCATTGACAACGAGCACCTCACCAGTAGTAGTAACAGAGGGATGACGGAAAAGTGAGTAGAAAGTTGTCCACAAACCCAGAGATGCCAAGCCTTTCTGAACTGATAGCAATTCAGAAATGAACACCCACGGAAAAAACAGGAGCACAGCATCGACCCCAGCGCTCAGAAGTGACATTAACCATTAATCACACCATCAGGCCGATTTTCCTTTTTCAGCGATGACACGCCCGGCTGGAAAACCTACGAGTCCCCTGGGTGCATGCTACTCTCTGATCCATTAGATGGTGCCATCCTCTCTGGAAAATGCTTATGTCTACTTACCAGCAATGAGAACCCAGAAATGTTGAGTAGTTTTATGTTAGATATGAATAGAAAGAGTCCCCAATACTTAAAAACTGCGAGATGTTAACTTGCATATGTTGGGCAATTTGCACAATTAGCATAGGTTGCGTTACTTAGCATTCATTTAAATAGTGAACAGGATACCTACTGGACTCTGAACAAACTGATGGGCCATGGCATGAGTCGTGTGGCGACCACTGGGTGTAGAGACCTCAAGATCAACATTATTACCTCAACTGTGAACCATTTTTTCAAATAGATAAGCAATATGTCCAATACAAACAGTCCAGCATCCTTTAAAACCTCAAGATGAATCAGAATCAGCCCCTCTGGACTACAAATATGGCAATTTACTGGTTCAATCTGCCATTTTTTTATGCTGAAAATACCAGAAAAGGATTCAGCTTGCTCAATAACCCCCATAACCTCCAATATCGTCCAAATTGGCCAATCCATTTTTGATTGTCCATATAAGCTATAATGCTAATTAACATCCAACATATGCAAAGTAGCAAGCAGCAGTTCCTAAATTCTGTTCACCCGTACTGGACATTTCTAACATGAAACTCATGTA